GGAGGTGTTTGGGAATTTTTTTTTTAAAAAAGTTTTTTTTTTAATAATTTAATTTATTATTTAAATGAAATATGGGACCCACTTAACGGAACCTTAACGGATTCTGTTAAGTGGTAGCAATATATACAGTTAGGGAATTTGTGTGGTAGTAATTTAAAATATTTTTTAAAACCGGTAGTAAATATGACACGGGGTGCTTTCGCTGGTAGTAAATGTCAATTTTTCCTATTTTTTATTATTAATATAACAACCTTGTTTTAAAATAGCAACATATAAACATATTGATCTTAATATTAGTGGTTCTCAATTAAATATTATGAGGCAATTTAAGAACTCTGGTCTAATATGAATCAAAACATGTGTTAACCTAGTTAAACTCTTTTACAACCCGCCATTTCAACTAGGGTGAAAGTTCGATTTGCGGTGTGATTTATAGCCCAAACCGAAACCAAACCACATTAATTCGATTTTGGTATTTTTCAAACTACACCACACCATATTACTATTGAAACCGAACCAAACCACACCATTTTAAATTCGATTTTTCAATAGAATACCGAACCACGCCGAAATCCTTTTTGCTCCATCTAAATTTTCATTCACTCCAACACCGCCCACATTAGTTGACTTTATAAGACATAAAAAAACACAAGTTTTACTATTTCTTGGTTTTATATATGTAGGGTAGAAATTAGTTTTGGATTAGGCTATAATTTGGATATGGACCATAATTCGGTTTGGATTTCGGTTTTGGTTTTTCAAACAACCAAAACCAAACCATATTAATTTGGTTTTGGTATTTCTCAAACCGCATCGAACCATATTAGAAAAAAAAAACCCGCACCACATTTCTAATTTGGTTTGGTTCGCAGTTTGGTTCGGTTTTAAACCACATTAGTTTCACCTTAATTTCAACCAAAATATAATATGGCCTTCCTTGGTTAGAACTCGACCTAATTTGAAACAATTCAAAATACGATTGAGCCAATTCGACTCTCTAGTTTAAAAATTGACCCACACTAACTTGTTGTCCAAATAAACCATTTAAGTTGACGTAAAATCAAATTGTCAACCCAAATTGAGCACTCACATTAAGAGGTTTCAAAAATTAATCTTATCGACTGATCCATAAATACCCAATTTAAATTACAACCTATACAGACATAATAATTTAGTACTCAATATCACTCAAATTTTAAATCGACCCGATTCGATTCGACCTAATTAAACCCCCGACACACACCCGAAACGACCCCTCTACTCATATTAGAAGTTTTGACGCGTTAATCAAACCTTTTAAAATGGTTCCCTAAGACTCCAAATCTCTTTTCATAAATTGCCTGGACTGTGTGCCTAATTTAGAAAGTGAAGTCGTGATGGAGTCAACGCAGTAGCGTCACCAGAATTTTCGAAGTGTGGGTTCGAAACTTCCGAAATTTGAAATCATAATTAACAAAGGAATAAAAATACAATAATTAAATATTCAGTACATAAATAAGTTCAAACTATGGATTACAAATAGATTACACATAGAAAAATGAAAAAAAAAAAAAGACTACATAAGCATTCTTCGAGTCTTCATACTTTGGAAGCGTTCCAATACATCATCATCACTAACTCTTGAAAATAAATCTCTTTCAAGAAAAGTGACTAAATTATCATTCAATAGTTGATCACCCATACTATTTCGCAACTTATTTTTTACGTATGTCATTGTGGAAAACACTCGTTCCACGCTTGCAGTTGCAACCGGAAGGATCAATGCTAGTCTTATAAGCAAGTAAACTAAGTTGTAAGTAGTATGCTTATTTGTTTCAACAAGCATCATAGAAATCTCATGAATACCCTTCAAGTCTCCAAACCTTGCATCTTGGCGCACATCATTAATATAAAATTGAAGCTCATGACGAAGTGCAGTCATCGTCATATCATTAGTTGGAAACTCTTTGGGATATAACTCAGCAAGTCTCAACAACTTTTGCATATCAAATGCCGCAAATGAATTGATCGGGTTTAAGCATGACACACAAATAAGTAACTCCATATTTTCTTCATCAAATCTACTATTGAGCTCTTGGAGTTGTAAATCAATGACACTTATAAATATTTCTACCCGAAATCGATGAAGATTTGAAACTTTGGCAAAGAAGCGTCTTGACCTTCCACGAGGAACATACATATCATCCATAGTAGGAACTTCTACATCATGTTTAACACAAAAACAAACCACAAGATGTAAAAAGTCTTCCCACCCATGGTCCCTCATTTGTTGTAATCCCTCCTTAGTCAATTTAACATATGTCATGGCATTAACAATATCTTGGTCCCCCTTTTGCAGAGCTTAACACAATTTATCAGTAATCCCAAATATTTCGGACATCAAATGTATCATAAATACAAATTCAAATGATTCAAATGTAGACATGACAGTGATAGCCTTCACGCGATCATCCTTATAAATCTTATTTGATCCAATCTTCTCAAGAACTTTAACAATAGTAGCATACGATGCGGTAACATTTGAAACAGTTTTGTAATGTGATCCCCACCTAGTATCACCAGGCCTACCTAAGCCATGTTCTTGGTTTAAACCTTGCCCACTTTCAATTTCTCCTAGTTCTAATGCTTGTAGAATATGTTGAGATTGTATTTCTCTTATCATTTCCCTTCGCTTACAAGAAACACCAATAATATTCAACAAAATAGCAAGTTGATCAAACAACCAAATACAATCATCATTATCCTTAGCAACATCAACAAGGGTTAATTGAAGTTGGTGAGCAAAACAATGAATATAATAGGCTTGTTTTGTTTCATTCATGATCAAAGTCTTGAGACCATTTATCTTCCCCCTCATATTACTAGCACCGTCATAACCTTGTCCACGAACTCTAGACAAACTCAATGAATATTCCATAAGCAAAGACTCAATTGCACTCTTTAGTGACAAAGCAGTAGTATCCTTAACATGTACAATTCCAAGAAACCTCTCATTTATCTTCCCTTTATTATTGACATAACGCAAGCAAAGGGCCATTTGTTCCTTTTGAGATACATCACTTGATTCATCAGCCATTATTCTAAAATAGTCATCCCCAATATCATCAATAAGAAGTCTAGTGGTTTCTTTGGCACAACAATTAATAAGTTCTTTTTGAATTGAAGGACTAGTCATTCGATTATTTCCCGGGGCATTACCTAGAACAACCTTTGCTACCTCACTATTATTTTCTGAAAACCATGTTAAGAGTGCAAGAAAATTACCCCTATTCCAAGATTCTTCACTTTCATTATGCCCACGACAAGCTAAACCTTGATTTAAAAGAAATCTAATACATTTCAATGAATAAGTCAAGCGAGATTTGTATTGTAGTTTAGCTTCCTTAGAATAAGTGCAAAGAGATTCAGCAACTGATGTCTTTGGGTTGATAAACATACTATATTTCTCATTAGCCTGATTATGGAAACTACCAATACCACCCACATGAACATCAAATCTACCAGTCTTATTCCATCCTCTAAATCCCCCTTTAATAAAGGAATCATTAACAGCCAAAGAATAATCAACTTTATCAGTGAACAAATAGCACACAAAACAAAAAGCCGCATCTTTCTCAACACTATATTCAAGCCACTCATATTTATCAAACCAAGTAACATTAAAACGGCGCATACCTCCAACTTTTCTTTGAGGAAAATTATGTGTGCGTGGATCACAACGTTTCTTTGTAATATAGCCTCTCCTTACGGCATCTCGATCATTAGGAGGATACTCCATAATTGGAATTCTTTTTTCCAGGGTCATGTGGAAGAAGATCAACATCATAAATGCGAGTATCATCGGAGTCAACAGTAGTATTTGGAACACTTGGACCTGTGTTCTCAGGTGGTGGAATTGTTGCAGCAATAAGAACCTCATCATCATTAGGAGACACATGTTCTTCTATTGGAGGATCCCTTGAACTAGGTGAAGAACAAGTTGAAGACTTTTGTGACTTCCCGGCACGTTTCCAAAATGACTCTAAACTCATGGTATAATAGGTATATACTGCTAGTCTGCTACACACACATGATAAATGCAGAATGAAATCAATGAATGAATGATAAATCTAGAAAGCTAATTAAAACTATCGTAATTAAAGATTACAGTCAATTACTCAATTAGTAAACGAAATCTAGACGGCAGAAAACGAAATAGCATATGAAATTATGAAAACTAGAAGGCAGAAAACGAAATACAGAAAATAGCATATGAAATTCAACAATGTAACAAAAAAAAATCCCCAAATTGAGAACTTGAGAAGTAAATTAGATAATTATAACCAAACTTCAGCAATTTACAAAAAATTGGCAATTCGTAATGTATATTAGCGATTTAGCATATGAATTTCAAGTATTCAATGATTTAGCAAAAAAAAATCCCCCAATTGAGAAGTAAATTACATTTGCAAAAAAAAATCCTCAAATTCACTTACCTACATACACCGATACACGGCTGTGAGGCTGTCAGTGCTGTGACGGACGACGGTGGGTCTGCTGGCCTGTTGGGTGAGTGGCTAGTGCGCTGCCACTGCCACCGTGTTCTGGCGTTCTGCTGACTGCTGCCGTGTTGCGCCGGGAAGAGAAGGAGGAAGAACGGGAAGAGATTAAGAGAAGGAGGAAGAAGTTAGGGTTTTGCAATTTGGGGGAATGAGGAAGAGGAAAGCTGGAAGCAAGGAAACAAAATTAAAAAAAAAAAAAAAGTGTGAGTTATGGGTTTTGAACCCACAAACTCTTATGTGATGGGAGGTAAAAATAACCACTAGCCTACAACTTTACTTGTTGTCATATAATACACAAATATTCTATTTAAACCTATTTTGATTTTTTTTTTTTTTTAAAAAAGTTTTTAATTTTTTTCAAAAAATCAGTGGGTTCAATGAACCCATTTGAACCCACCCTAGCTCCGCGACTGAGTCAACGTCTAGATCACCAAGTGTATTATATATTTATATTGAGATCTTGAAGAAGTTTCGTTATTGAAAAGTGAGAAATACAAGTAGACGTATCTTAATTCAACTAACCTCGAATTTATTCAACCTGCCTCTTGGGGACATCATTTGAAACGTTTGAAGTTGAACAGATAAATTGAAACTTCAAAATCTACAACTACATGTATAAATTTCATATTATTGTACAAAACAAAAGTTTGTGATCAACTGAAGATGGGAGTATTATTTTCAAGGTTTTGTGATTGTCTTAAAAAGTGGAAGTTTCGCCATGAATCTGCTACTGCTGCTGCTGAAGCCGAAGAAATTTCTGAGCTATTTTTTGAGCTTCGTATTCTTCAGGTTGCAACCAATTTCTTCTCCGAAACGAATTTGTTAGGTCGTGGTGGTTTTGGACCTGTTTTTAAGGTATTTTCAGGCATCTTCATTAGTAATTATTGCTATCTTTTATTTAATGATTTATCTTTGATTCACCAAAAAAAAAGATTTATCTTTAGTTAGTTCTGATACATATTCTATTTCATATTCTATGAAGTTCGATCCAAAATCTAAGTTGTCATTATTTTCTAAGGTCTTGATAGCTACAAGGTCATAAGAAATCCCAATTTAAATGTCATATTATTATAATATTGAATGTCGTAACATATTGATAAATTGTGGCATTTTGTGGGCGGTAAAACTAGCATAGTAGCTACATACTATCTCCATTTCATAATATTTGCAACGATTTAACATAAAATAAACAAGAAAAATGTCTAATCGTTACAAATAATATGAATCAGGAGAATTATATAAATTATGTTTTAAATTATGTATCAGGGTAGGAATTGAATTATGACCTCAGTTATAATTTTGATTTATTAATAGTTAGAGTTTAACTTCTTCATATTTCAAAGCAGTTGACGGGAATTTCTTCTCAGGGTAAGTGTGAATGTGATTAGTTTTATATATATATATATTTTTTTTGCATGAGTTTTGGATTGATTATGCTCCATGAGACCATGACTCCATGTCTCCTGTATAAATTAATAAATACCCTGGCTTTAAGATATTTATTTTTAGGAAAATGCTAACGAACGCCCTCATGGCGTTGGATAAGTTACTTAAAAGTAGAAAGATTAAATTAAAACTAACATTAATTACACCGATCGATGCGTGATTTTGTCATGCTTTCTCAAATTAATACTAAGGAGTTCCTAACTCTCGTGACAAGAGTGTTAAAACCCCTATACGGGGATTCATGATTTAAAGGGGTAACGTAGACTCCTATAGTTGAGAAAGGTTGGCGAACTCTAAAGAGAAGATTCACTTGCCTGAGTTTTCTTTTTCGCCAGACAACTGGCGGATAAGCCGGGCATCTAAAGAACATAAGATCCGAGTAGCCGCCAGGCATAAAAGTCAACTAGGGCAATTGGCACAACCAGGCATCTCAAACATTGATAAGGGGGAGGCTTAATACGACTAGTCCGAAAGTTAAGCTAGGACAGAGATTAACGACTAGTTCTGAAAGCCAGGAAACTGCTAAATCAAACGTTTCAAGAAATATTCCCCAGTCGAAAAGAGGGGTTCCTTTTTCGTCTCGAATTTTTCATCGAACAAATAAGGGAAAAGAATCATATTGAAAACGCTCCTAACCCAAGCCCTTCCTTCGTAGAGCCGTGTGCGTCGATCTCATTCTTAGGAAGAAGGTTCCCGTCTTCCAAAGTCAAGGGAATAGCATTACCAATCGTAAATGTTATATCCACCCCATAGCTTTTCTTCATAGTAAATAAAACATTGAATTTATAGTAGCCCGCTATGGCTGGGTAAGCATACTGGATCAATAGATCCATCGCTGTAAGACACAGGAGATCAGTCTGGTTGACAAGAGGATAAGGCTCCCGGTAGCTACAGCCTGCTAGGATTAACCCCCCGTGTGGGTTCCTCTCAAAGGTATTCTCAATACATCCTAAGCTATCCAGGAGCCACTCCACCCGGATGAGGTTGAGGTTTCGGGAGCGTTCACCGAATCCAGTCGTCCCCTTACCGAAGAAGGCCCGACGTCCTCTCTGGGATCAGTGCTCCTCCCTGGTCTGTGGGAGGGTAAGATTCTCTCTCCTTCTTTCTTTCGAACTTTGCTCTTAACTCTTTTTTTTAACCGGAATTTTGAATGAAGGGCGTAAAGACGAGTTCCAAGAGTCGTCTAAGCACATCCATTCTCTTAGGGCTTAGGGGATGCCAAAAGCTAGCCTCCCACCTATCCTACACATTCGATCAAGGTTGTCACTGCGAAGCTATAGTAAAGGTGCACGGGGTCTTACCGTCTAGCCGTTGGTACTCCGCATCTTCACGAAGAATTCAATTTCACCGGGTCCATGTCGGAGACAGCGGGGCAGTCGTTACACCATTCGTGCAGGTCGCTACTTATGCGACAAGGAATTTCGGCCCCGGATCTACGTTGAAAGCTTCTATAGTAGAACTCATTCGAGAAGGCTTGGCGGTCTTAAGAATGGTTCGGGTAGGAGGTTCTCTTAAGAATAAATAAAGAAGACAAATAGAATCTAATTCATGTTCGTGCTAACAGAAGAGCCAATAATATAACAACCCCAAAAAAAGTATTTCTTGCTTTTCCGATAGCCTTTAGTATAGGAGCATCTCTAGTGGTCCCGCCTAACTCTTCGTTATCTGTCCGAATACCTCTTACTATCTGCCTCTGTTTCAGGAATAAGTTAAGGGACTAGGAGTACCTGCCGGAATGAGCTTCCCTCGTTGATTCTTTATACTTCAGTATAGCCTTCAGACAGAATGAACGGATCGAAGACCGATTCTGATCTCAAAATGAACTTATCCCTGCCTTATTCAACTCAGAACTCAAAACAGGTCTTTGGCTTCCTACGCTCTCCTTCAACTAAGGGTGATAGGAAGTGAAGCCTAGCTCGACCTGAAGGTCTTCGTTTCGAAAACTCTAAAAATGCCTTTCCTCTTTCCATCTTTCCTTTCAAAGTTTACTACTCTGAATACCTTCTTGAACCTTTTCCTTTAAGCGCACCCTCCTCTTTCTAATGGACCTGCTCCACTGGAAATGACTAAGGTGAGGGAGGAAAGATCAAAGTACCGTAATGGGATGATTCTATCTATACCAGTTGAGCTAACGTTATAGGATCAATGAGCTATAGTCGGTAAGCTGACGAAACTTTGGTAAGTTACAAGGATGAATGCAAATAGCAAGGCGCGCCCGATTTACCAAGGACTATTTTGGTTGCTTTTGGCGGATTGCTTACTACTAGGTTGGATCGGATGTCAACCTGTGGAAGCACCCTTTGTTACTATTGGACAAATTCCTTAAGCTCTCTGCTCTATTTGCTTGCAATGTTATGTCTATCAAAGTTGGCGAACGCTTCTTGTTCTCGTCCACCCCTTAATGCTTTGCAAGCACTAAGTAAGTAAACTACCTTTCTTTTTTTTTCATAACCTAGACTAAAGAAGAAGCTCCTGAATCAGCGCAAGGCCAAATCAGCAGCCTAAACTTCTTAGCTTCAGTCTCGCATCAGTCACAGGATCAGAACCCTTTTCTGCTTTCAGCCAAGCAAGGATAAGAGAGAGATCCTATGGTTAGGCCAGTTAGTTAATGCTGGAAGGTTATAGAAGACGAAAACGATGGATGTCCTAAGTGACAATGCCATCGGAAAATAGACTCTTTATTCGGACTAGCACACGAGGGCGTTAAGCTTACTAACACTAAAGGAGTAGACTGATTATCAAAGCTCGCACGGGAATCGAGTACTTCTTAAGCGGGAAGTTGAACCCTTTTTTGGTCAAAGCCAAATGATGAATAGAAGGAAAGGAGATCATAAAGATAGGCGGACGACTGGACTTATAGTATAGGTCGGATGTTTTCGGAAGTGAGTTAGACAAAAAGAGAAGCAACTTGGACAAAAAGAAACGAAGTGACTTAGACAAATCGTTTTTGTCAATAACCTCCGACCATAAGGGAAACGGATAACTTTCTTTACGCTAATAGCTAATATAGAGAGGCGCAAAGGACAGATATGCCAATTTTGCAGAAGAAGAAAGTTTCATTGCCTCTATCATTCGACAGGGAGATTCTGAAATTGCGGAGGCTTGGTTCGATCAAGCCGCCGAGTATTGGAAACAGGCTATAACGCTTACTCCTGGGAATTATACCTGCCAGGGGGGCTAGGATTGTAGATTGGGAAACTTCACGGCTAACCCTTGAATTCCCACCGTAAGATTTTAAATGTTTATCCAACACCCAGGGGCGTTCGTTAGCAAGATCTTTATTTTTAACATAAGAGTAATATTATATATAGCCTAAATACACTCTTGAAAATGGTATAAAATTAGAAATTCATGACAAAAACATGCGTAAATCAGGGTAATTAGTGTTTATATTTTTTATAATTTCCTAACTTTGCACAATTTTATAGTGCATATTTGACGTTTATATGTAGCCCTAAGGGCTGTGTATAAAAGATGGGGTTGCTATATATATATATATATATATATATATATATTTCGATATAACAAAATAAATAAAAATGACTGCTAAATCTTCCAAAACTGTAGTCCTACAAATTCAATAGTGATTAATCCTATTCTATGACTTTTTCTAATTGCAAATAATCTGAATTTAACTGAATATGTCAAATATATTTTTATTTGAGAAATTGTCTCAATAGCCCTTATATCAATTTTTTGGTCCTAGTCTATTTAAACTTTCTCTTAGAGATGAAATGATCAAGTCCTAATCAAGATGGTCCAAGGTTTCATTTGGCATGTTTTTGTTTATGCAACATAATTGTAAGTAACTAAAATATTTTCCTTCAAAAAATATAAACTAAAATTATTTGATTAAAAAAGAGACAACATGTAATGATGGTGATAAAACATCAAGCACTGTATTACATATTTATATAAAGCTAGAATTGATCATTTGATCCTAATTTCTAGGATAGAGAATAGTTTGGATTAATCCAGAGATAATTTATGAAGAAAAAGGGAATCTTGAGATTCGAGGATGCTAAATCATGTAACAGTGACTCCTAAAGAGAAACATGGAGAGGGTAGAGAATGAGAAGAATGTATAATTTTATCGATCATATATATTATCATGTTACATCTTCTCATTTACTTATAGCTCTCAACACCAGTGCTATGATAAAATTTGCCCATACCTAAGCTATGTCAAAGAAAGTAACTTTTTTTTTTTAACAAAGGAATGAACATGATTAAATCAAAATAAAAAGCTAAACAAACACAAAATTCTGAAATCCGTTCATTTGGAAGCATATTTATAGGAATGTTCCTGAAGAGGTTGCAGCCCTGCCACCTCAGCTCCCCTGCACAACCACCTCTGGCTCAGAGCTTTCCTCTTCAGCAGCTGGCAATGATTTACCTTTTCAGCTATCATGCTTAATTCCACCTCAATACATACCCTTGAGCTTGTATCAGATGGTGGCATTTAGATGCCATCGATTGTAAATCCAAGTGTTGTCTGAGTTAGTGCTTACATACTGCGTATTTAAGATATTCTTTTATGCTTTATATGAAATATTTTTCTGCATGTTCTATACCATAGGCTTATATATCTGTTTCTTGAATTCTAATGGAAGTTTGAAACATTACGTTGTAATGTTTTGATTAACTTCATTACAGTTTCCATCTGTTTTTTTTTTCCTTAATCCAAACAAGCCTTAAAAATTGTTCTATTGTTCATAAGATTTGGCATTTTTATCTTTCTTTAAAGAGTGAGTTGCTAGGAATTAGTTCAGAAAAACAGAGTAAGCAAGAGAAACAGAGAAGAAATTAGCAGCCAAGATAGATTGTATTGCAAGTCAGTGTAACCACAATACAACTAACTCCTTTCTTTCGAGAGGAAAGGATGCTCTCCCAAGGAAATGATTTCCACAACAAAATTCTCAATGCATTCCCCCTCCACAAACTTCCCTTAAATACCCAAAAATAACTACCTAGCAGACATAACAAATTCATCACCCCACACAAGGACTAACAAACTTATTTCCCAAATTACTGATTTACCCCCTTCCCATAACTAACTTCCAGCTCACACATTCCAGCTCACTCCTTCTTATCCACACCTTGCTTGGGCCTCCTCCTTGCATAAGTAAAGCGCACCCTTGGACTGGGCTGATCTCTTGCATGAGTTTGAGCATTATAGGGCAGTATCTAGACTGATATGTCAAGGAGATAAAAGGTGCAGAAATAATTCATGTTGCTTAATAACAGTTCATTTTAGAGAAAATGAAAAGATAGTGATGGCTAATGAGATCAACAGGACATTAAATTCTTCCCTCTCATGTGCTTCGGCATCCTCTATAACCATGGATCTCTCGCAACCAATGGCACAATTGCCATTTACTATTGGGAGTTAGGACAATGCCACTACTTTGCGGACCTTGATCTTCATTACCTTAAGTCTGGACTCTGTAGGCTATCCACCAGCTGCATTTTTCTTTTTTGTTATAGGCCTCTTCTGAATAATGTTGTTTATCAGATAATAAAAATTTCAGATTGATATTACAATTGATATTATTAATAGCAGATGTACTCGTAGAAAATCTTCTATAGTCCTGCTTAAGCATCAACTAAGGCAATGATTGATATTATTTGCTTAATCAATATTTGTATAATATTTGCTGGATCTGAGAAAGACAATTCTCTGCATCCAGAAGCGGAAACATTAAACTCATCTGGCTCTGAACTTCAGGGACTGATGCCAAATGGACAAGAAGTAGCAGTGAAAAAGTTGTCAGTAAACTCTAGACAGGGTGTTACAGAATTCACTAATGAAGTGAAGCTACTGTTGAAACTTCAGCATAAAAACTTGGTGACATTGTTTGGCTGCTGCATAGAGGGAGCTGAGAAAATGCTCGTGTACGAGTATCTTCCTAATAAGAGCCTTGATTATTTTATTTTCAGTAAGATGCCTTTCTGACTAGAAAATTCTGCTAAAAGTCTCTTCAGTGAGGCTGATTGCACTGATTTGAGCTAATATAGTGCTAAATTTTTATCAGAGAAAGACAACTCATCAGTCCTTGATTGGGCTACACGGTACAGAATCATAACTGGTATTGCTAGAGGACTTCTCTACCTCCATGAAGAGGCTCCTGAAAGGATTATTCATAGAGATATTAAAGCCAGCAACATATTGCTTAATGATCAATTAAATCCTAAGATATCGGATTTTGGTTTGGCCAGGTTATTTCCCGGTGAAGGCACCCATTTAGATACGCTCAAGATTTCCGGTACTTAGTGAGTAATTAGAAGCAACTTTTTATCACTTTGAACTAATTTTTATTTGTACAGCTCATGATCCTCATGCTTGGCTCTTTGTTTAATCAATTCTTTTATTTACTTAAATGCTGATTAGGAAACTTTGTCTATGATTGCAGCGGGTATATGGCACCTGAGTATGCAATGCATGGATATTTGTCAGTGAAGTCGGATGTGTTCAGTTTTGGGGTACTGACATTGGAGATTGTAAGTGGAAGAAAGAATTTTGTTGACAACCTTGGTGCAGAGAAGGCAGATCTCTTGAGCTATGTAAGTTCTTATTCTGGTTATGATGTATCTTGAGAAAGTCAGCATTATGTGGAATTTGTACTCTTTTTCCTAAATTATATTTCTATCATTCTCTTTAAGTTGCAACATTTGGATAATTGCAGTATTTACGTTCTCCCCTCTGACCACCTTTATGGATTTATATGTTGGCAAAGCAGTCATGTGGGTTATTGAAAGATTGGTCTCAATTTATTTTCACACATCACAATATCAATTTTTTTTATAATTTTAACTTATCTATTTAGAGATATAAAGGTTTGATATTATGCATTGACAAACGTGAAAGTCAAAACATTACAACTAAAAGAGAATGGAGATAGTATCATTTACTAATTGAGAACTAGTAGTACACAAATACAAATTAAATGCGAAGGTGGACATGAAGGAGGGAAACTGGAGCTGTGTACCATTCGGTTATTTGTAAGAGTTCTAGCAATATACTGATCACAGAAAATGGAAAACGTTTGTAGACTTAAAATCTAACATGCAGCTATATGTGTTACAGAAATTCAGGCAAAACACTGAATCTGCTACTACATATATAATTCTACTATCAATTTCACAGTGCAAAGTTCTGACTTTGTCTACTCAGAACTGATCTTAATAAAAAATTAATTTTTTGATGAGGGCATGAGGCATTGTGTAATGCTCACTATGTAAATCTTACTCATAGTCTAGTCCTTGTAGGAAATCTGGTCTATGCAATGCACAAGGCCAAAAATACTAAAGGCCTCTTAATTCCAAAATATGTATTTAAGGAGATATTCATATATATGTGCAATACTTAATGAAGGCTATAGTTGACTGTTGACGTATTGGTTCATACTTCATACTTATAGAAACTTCCTTAGACAACTATGTTACTGTTAGGCTAGCATCAATGAGATACTGTTAGCTACTTCATTCCGCTTTCTGAATAGATGTGAAATCTTTAGTTCTAAAATTGTCTGTGCAGACATGGAAGCTCTTCCAGGAAGGGAGGAGCCTGGAGTTAGTTGATGCTAGCCTTGGTAAGTGCAATCCAGATGAGGCGGCAATGTGCATTCAACTTGGGCTGCTATGCTGCCAAGCGACTGTTGTTGAGAGGCCAGCCATGAGCTCTGTTCATCTGCTTTTATGCAGTGAGTCATTTAGTTTGCCTCAGCCAGGTAAACCTGGAATTCATGGTCGCCGATGGATTGCACCAACTAGCTCTTCTGCTTTCACCAAAACTAATCCTAGTAGTTCGTCCTCTGGTCTCACCAAAACTACGACAGGGAGCACTGCTGTTGAAGACTTTTCAAGAAACTCCATCTCTCTTTCTTCTGTAGATGAAGGTAGATGATATATTACAGTATATTAGGAATTGTAATAATTTATATGCTTGTAAAGCTTATTCAGTATTTGTTTGTCCAAAATTATCATCACTTTGTGGAAGTCATCATTTAACATCCATTAGAGTATGAGCAATGGTGGGTAACTCACCACCATTACAACTCATCTCATTTATTTCTCTCTTCCAACTTTCCACTATCTTAAAGTTACTATTATGAGTCACTTTTTTTTTTATCTACAATGGTAAGGTTACACACCACTCTCTCTCCTAATTTTTATCAATATCCCATCATCTATAATTTCTTTGAATTTGTAATTATTGAACTTACATAATTATTTAATAAAACTAAGACATTATAGATGATGTCTATAATCTTAATAATCACTTAAATATGTAACCTTTTTTTTTCCTAATTTTTGAAATGAAAAATACAATAGTAATATAAAATTTAAATTGCATAGTTTATAAAACATAGAGATTCATAAAAATATGAAATACAATCTTCATTAAAAGTGTCTATTCATTCGTTGCTGAAACATCCTCAAATATGCTCAACCAAGTCATTTTTTAATGCAATATGGGTCTCCCTATCACGAACATTATTTCTATTTGACATATAGCCACTTAAATTGAGCTTATCCAATCGTTCACTTCTCACGGTAAATGGTTGGTTGTTATTACCAGATGATGACCCAACTACATTTTGTGGTTGATCATTGATAAATTCAGATGCATTGTAATGCAAATATCCATTTCGCTCATCTTCAACAATCATATTGTGCATGATAATACAAGCCATTACGATTTTCCATAAAATTTTAGTCGACCATGCTAGACCTGGTTGACGTATTATTGCAAATCGAGCTTGTAGTAACACTCTAAAGGCACGTTCAACATCTTTTCGATAACTCTCTTGCTTCTTGGTAAGTAATTTGTGCTTAGCGGTTTGTGGGTGTTTGATTGCTGGGATAAATGTTGCCTATTTTGGATAGATACCGTCTGTAAGATAATAACCCATATTGTATGTATTTCCGTTGACATTAAAGCTAACCTCTGGAGTTTTTCCCTCACATATATCAGAGAACACTGGTGACCGTTGGAGGACATTTATATCATTACAAGAACCTGGTGTACCGAAAAAGGCATACCATATCCACAAGTCTTGTGAAGCAACGACCTCTAAGATCACGGTTGTTGTTTTACTTCTACCTTGATACATTCCTTTCCAAGCACGTGGACAATTTTTCCACTTCCAGTGCATGCAATCAATGCTTCCCATCATACCAGGAAATCCACGACTATAACTTTCACGGAGGAGTCGTTCAATATCCGTAGTATTCGCCCTCCTCATGTACTCCGGTCCAAACTCAGAGACGACTCCTTCAACAAAGTGAGCGAGACATTCCCTTGCAGTACTTGATGCGATTTTAAGATATTCGTCAAGTGCACCGGCTGATGTATCGTATGCTAACATCCGAATTGCTGCAGTGCATTATTAGAGGGGGGATGCACCTAGTCTTTCGGTGGCATCCGGCTTTTGTTGAAAGTAATTACTTTCGCTTATTCAAAACCGTCGGCGGAACATATCGTCTGTGTACTATGGTTTGGGAATAAAGTAGTCGTTATATAATTGTACATCAGCATATTTTCGATCTCTTGGTACATACCACCTTTGGTACGTAAGTTTAGGAGTGAAGGGGGGCTGGTGAGTAGAGGTTACAAGGGGAACAACATCTGTATTGATCGCTTTCTCGATCAATTCTTCTTCTTTTCGCCTTTGGGTAATTGATTCATGCCACTCTACAGAGTCGTTGACCATGTAATCAAATAACCCTGAACTAGATGAACTAGAAGAATTTGAATCAGAGTTCATTTTGTAATAAATTTTGGTTGAGAGGAGGAGAGTTTTGTTGCAGAAATAATACTTATTTTTATGTTTTAAACCATCAAGTACAACCCCCTTATATATATAACATCTAAAATAATTCAAAACAAATAATTGGTGTTTATGATATATTGACACAAAAGTATATAAGAGATATGATTTTCGATAAGGTTTATAGATTTTCTACATTTGTTATAGGGTTTGTAGGTTTCTTATGTATGACATTTCAATTCATGGGTACACATAACAGGAAAAGATAAGATTTTCTGATGATGCATATAGATTTTCTGTCAACACATGTGACATTTCAATGTAGCATTATTGTAGGTCAATCATATTGTAAATATTTTCAAAGTTACTAGCTACAGAACATTTTTCAATACGGAGTTCATATATATTAATAATTTAATTATTTGCAATAAATAATTTATGATGTTAACAAAAGTAGAGAATTAATAATAAAAACTTCAACTTCATTGCATTAAGAAAGAACTAACAACAAAATATTACAAAGGAAATTTAAAACAATAAGAGTAACCATACATCAATTAAAAATAGCATAAAACATGGAGTTTAATTAAATTAATTGATATTTAAACTAGCCCAAAAGATGTGCAAATTCTTGCTTTAGTTTTGCATAAATTTCTTTTTCATCTTCAGATAGATTGGTTTTGCAAGAAGGATACTAAATAGCTTGAACCTTTTTTCCTCCTATTTTTTCTGAGCTTTGGCGGCATCTCGTTCCTTTTGACATTGTAGCATACGTTCCCCTACATCAATTTGCCTCTCATCAACATCTTTGTGTTGTCCTTTAATCACACTCATCTCTGAAAGAGCTTGAGTAAAAGACTCTAAAGAATTTAAGAGCTACAACCATTTTGAATTCCAGAATTAGCAACAGATTTACCTTTTCTTTTCGCTGCTTTCACCCCATCCAGACGACGACGACGACGAGAATGAGTGTTTGGACCATCATCAGTTGGAGTATCTGACTCTGATCTTTTTGAATTGCCACCACCACTAGAAGGTATGTCTAGGTCTATCGGCCTGCATTTGTCTAAGTCTCTCAACATCTCCCAACAGCCAATTAAACCAAAGCGTGAACCATTACACGTCCCTCTATATATTTCATGAGCTTCAGTCATCTCATCATGAGTGTTGGTACCACTCCTATACCTTTTTTCACTTCATTATAGCAACCAACCCATGTACTCACATCTTTTTTATTCTTTCCCACCGACTTTTTTATAGATCTCAAAGTTCTAGGGCGCATATTGGATTTATATTCTTTTCTAGCTTGATCATAAAGGGATTTTATGTTCCTCCACATTATGGCCAAACTTTGATCTGTTGCCGTCTCTAGATCTACAACTGCACATTCTACCCAAGTCGAGACGAGTGCGTCATCTTCTTTTGCACCCCAATTTCAGCCCTCTCACTTGTGTTGCTCCCGTGCGGAGCTTCAACATCATCATCATCAGCAGCGCCATCAACATCAACATCGTCATCAGATTGTTGTGAAACCCTTGGATTTTTGGGTGGGGTTAAATTACTACTTCTTTCTCTCTCAGGAGTTGTTAGACTATTTTGAATTATTTGATTCCCACCATAATGTCGTGACATTGGAAACATAAAACCAGATGGTACATTTTGGGGAATTTGTTGAAAGTTTTGGTTTGAAAATTGGTTTGGGAATTGTTGTGGGAAATTTTGGTTTGAAAATTGATTTGGAAATTGTTGTATAAATTGTTGCTTTGGATGCATTGGTTGGTTAGGAATGTTATAAAATAACATCCTTTGAGCATTTGGATTAGTAAGGTTACTTGGATCAAAATGAAAATTACTTTGAAAATTTGGAGAATTGGAAGTTGGGTAGTTTGGATTATTTTGAGATGAACCACTTCCACAATTAAGATTATTAAGATCCATAATCTGAAAATATTTTTGCAATAAAAAAAGAAGGGTAAAATTTTAAGTATGAAAAACTATATCAATATTAGGCACTATTTATAAATAAAATTATAAGTATGTCATTGGTGCAATTATCTTTTGAAAAAAATTAAAAGCCTTGTATATATTACCGTTACAAATATTATCGTTGTAAAAATTAAAGTACAAAAACTAGCTGTTGCACTCATCGTGAATAGCAAATTCAATGGATTCAAATATTGCTTGAAGGGGACACTTGTCATGTTTCTATTGGATAAAAGCAAAAAAAATGTGGGCCACTTACTCATCAGCTACTCATCAGTGGGGGTGTTCTCCTTACTATGGGTAAGTTGTGAGTCACATTCCACAATGGTGGGTTAACTTACAAAGAGGAGAGAGTGTGTTGTGAGTAGGGTAGTAACTCACCAATGCAAATGCTCTTACACCTTTACACCCCTTTCCTTTATAATCCATCTTCATAAATAAAAATACTGGATTACAAATTGTACAAAATCTCTATCTCTGAAAATAGCAATTTATTTTGGAATTTTGGTGGTGTGTTTAAGGGATGATAAAAATCAAACTAATAAATACAAGTTTTTAAATAAGACCGTCTTACCATCATATATTACTACCTTGTAGCCTTGTAGGTGGGATGAGTTAAGAAAAGAGAAAATTCTGGATAGGGTCATATATATGCTTACAATAATTCACAAAAGTGGTCTTATGTTTGTAAGACAGTCTTAATATTGGAAATGAAAATGGATTAGGTAGTTTGGGGGAAAATGAGGCAATGATGATGGTGTAATAATAATATTTTTTTTTGGTTGGAAATGATGGTGTAATAATAAAAAGGGGGTGAGGGTCTAAAGGGTAAATATTGTGCACATCTATTTTTTTCTCCTTTAATTGACCAAATAGTGCAATGATGAGACAATTGCATTACTATGAGTCTAATAACTAGATAAAATCTAAGCTATTATGGACTACTTCTCACAAAAAGAGAGAGAGAGAGAGAGGGGCTATTATGAACTTCGGAATGTGAGGAAAAATGATCTCAAACCTCTTTAAGCCAAAATTAAAATTACCAATGGTCTGAATCGTATAAATGCGTGTTTTAAGCTCTGTTAATAATAGTATCAAATTAAATGTATAACGCTTAGGTTAAAAATCTTAAAATAGTCTTCCACCATCAAATTTCAATGGGGTTGCGGTAGCATACCAACGCGATATTTAAGATTACAATTAACACATCAATTGTATCTCGCGTATTATATCTCAAAAACATATAAAGTGATACAACCTATAGAAAATTAGTGGGAAGCCGAGATACAATCTGGGCCCCCACTCCTCTAGCTATAGAAAAGCCAATCCTAGTAAAGATATGAGCTACAGCACGCGCCCCAATGTCCTGAGTCTTCAAGAACCTCTAGATCCGCTTCAGCAATGCAACAACCTCCTTTTCAAACTCCCCAAGAGAGGAGAAAAAGAAAGGAAGGAAGTCATATCCAATCGCTCGACAACTGAATTCGTACTTGACCCACTTCCAATTGGTCGCATCAGTAACTACTCGTCCAGGAACAAAGTCAGAAAGCCCAGACTGTGTCAATGGAGAAGACCCTAGCAAGTCAACACACCTAAATCCTAGAGGTGATTAACACACCTAAATCCTAGAGGTGATTAAAATCGGACTGGGCTGGGCCTTAACATGATACGTCGTGCCCGAACCCACAAAAAATGGCGGGCTTGTCGGGCCAAAGCGAGCTTTTTTTGGACAAGATTCGAGCTTTTAACAAAAAAAATGCGTTTTTAGTTTGCCCTATTTTCGTGTCGGGTCGGATCGGGCCTGGCCAATGTTGATCACCTTACTAAGGCCCTGTTCACTTCACCTTATTTTGCTTAATTGAAATTATTTTTACTGAACTAAAGTTATTTTTGCTTAATTTAAATTATTTTTACTGAATTGAAATTAATTTTACTGAATTGAAATTTTTGCTGAATTGAAATTATTTTTTTACTGATTTTCTATTATATTTCTTCTCTAAGTGTACTAAATTTTACTGAATTGAACTTATTTTTACTGGACTGAAATTATTTTTACTGAATTGAAATAATTTTACTAAACTGAAAATATATTTACTGAATATTATTTTTTTAAGGTGAAGTAACAGGACCTAAATAGAGTTTTTTTTAGAACATGTCTTACCATGGTATTAGGCCATTGATTTGGTTTATTATCGGCATTGACCCCCCCCCCCCCCATTTCTCTCTCCTCAAAGCCACAACCTAGCCTAGCCTAGCTAACCCTAGCTGCCAACCTCTCAGCTGCCGTCGACACCACCACCCATCAACGTAGCCGCCCACCCAAATCACTCTAACCTATTTGGAAAATCCCCCTCCCTTTTTTCATCTGTAACAACCATCCTCTTCATCCTAAGATCTTTCAACACTGCATACTTGCGCTACGATCCACAGCAAAGCGTGACCACCCCAAACCATTAGGAACAAGATTAAAGTCAGCAATTTTGTGGTGGATTTGATGTGGGATTTGCTGGGGATTCTTGCTCCATTGGTTAAACCTAAGAAAAAGTTGCAGAAGTTGAATGATATGTCCATTTTATATAGTATTTTACCCCCGTCCCTTGGTCATAATTGGTAGTGTTTTTGGCTCTTTAGAGTCACTTTTATTACTAATTGGTGTTTTCTAGTGTTTTCGTAGTTTTGGTTGAGTATTGTAGGGATTTCCACCTTTGGAGCATTTTCCCGGGATTTTTATGGAGCAACTTCGAGCATTAGAGGAGCACGACCAGTTTTCGTAACCCAGGGCTGATTAGAGTTATCAAACCGGTGATTAAGGGCTTGGTGCATGTGATATCGAGGCATTTGGATCGAGTATTCAAGACCCGAAGAGGAAATCCGGATTGGCCGAAGAATCGGAGCCTAATCGAGAAGTCCAAGTTGCAAAAGATTGTGGCCCGGCCAAATTAGGCTCCGCCCGAAGGTGCGCCCAACCGGGCGGGGCGGAACATCTTTCGCCCTGTATCGCGCCCAGCCGGGCGCGAGAGACATCCATGTTGAAAAAAAGGCGGGCCCGGTCGGGCGGTGTGGCGCCCAACCGGACGCGTGTCCTTGATGAAGTTTTAAGCGTCGTTTAGTTTGTTTTAATTTAGGATTTTTCTTGCTTAATATAAATACGTTTTTGTTAAGCAAGTTTAACGCTCTCACTAACTTCTATTATATCTTCTCTTAGACTTTCTCTCTCTACTTAGTTTTTAGATTATTTTTTCTTTCTACAACTTTGTTCTTTACTTTGTTCTTAATTCAACTCTTTAATTCCGATTACTTTGGTAACGATTTCTTCTACTTTAATCTCAGTCATTTATTTTATTTCTTTCATCATGGCTTGTTTAATTGCTTTGTTTAGTTTAGATTTAATTATGTTTGAGTAGTTTTCTTTCTAGGGTTTATGGGGATCCATAAATAATATGAAGGGGTAATTTATTGTTGTTGATTGTCAATGCTAGATTAATTTCCTATTGATTGATTTAATGCTCTGCAACTAGATTAGTGCTGGTCTTTTATGTATGAGTTTAGCAATATTGATTCAAGATTCGAGAGATGAGAATTTATATTTAGGATTATTTTCAATGGGCAAGTTAATTTATAAATGGTTAAGTCGAGATTCGAGAGATGAGATTTAATACCGGTAGATTAATTCTATGATTGTAATAAGTAGCGAGACCCCTTTATGATTTGATTAATTGATGCATTGATGATTGATTATTATGTCTTACCCTGAAATATTATTTATTGGTGAGATCTTCCTCCTACTTTTATTCCTTCCCACATTTACTCCTAGTAGTTTAGTTCTCCTTTATAATAACAATTTGGTTACTTGATAATCTAGATTATGTTGATTAATTAGGAATAAATTGACTTGTTTCCCTGTGGTTCGACCCTTCTTCCCTATCTACATAGTAAGTGGATTTAGGTATTATTTTTTATTAGGTGATTACGACTTTAGCTTGTCAAAATTTGGCGTCGTTGCCGAGGAGACGGTTTTATTTTTATTTCTGATTGTTTTCTATAGTCTAGGTTATTTCTTCTTGTCTAATAGAACGTTAGTTCTTTGAGGCAAGTCTCATATTTGCTTTTTAGTTCTTTGTTTATGCCCACGTGTTCCAGATCAGGTTATATCCCATTCGATCCTGAGATCGAACACTCTTTTCATAGACAAAAGAATCTTTATAGGCAAATCCTAGCGAGTTCTGAGGATAACATTAATCGCCGAGACCCTCCAACAGCTTCTAGTGATTCAGAAGTTCCTTCAGATTCAGAATCAGAGATGACGGCACCTAAGAAGCTCAGTGATTATTCGCAGCTGACGTTAACAGATTAATCCCTACACCTTATACCTGCCCCCCTTGTTACAAAAATAGAGGGATAACTCTATTTTTTTATCCCTATCCCTTTCATATGGGATAGAACAATTCTCATTAAACAAACAAGGGATTATTAATCTCTATCCCACCTACAATCCCCACAAACAAACAACCCTTATGTACTTTTTTTTTTAATATTTATAACACGCTTGACAATGGACTAAGATGCTTAATAAGCCACCTTTGTTATAAGTGGTTGGAGGTTCAAATTCCCTTAACATTATATTTTTATATACAAGTATGAAGTAATGTGGATCGCTTGGGTGATGATGTGGCATAAAGAGATGTTAGGTAGGTGATGTGGCATCATGAAGTATTTGTGAAGTGACGTGACACATTATAAAAGGACACGTGGCACATGGACATTTTTATAAACGCCTTTTAATATATTAGTATAGATTTAGATTTTTTTTTTTTTTTTTTTTTGGAAACATAGTTTAGATGGTTATAAAAGGTGTTATCTAATAATAAATTTTCCTTATGTTAATCACAAAGTTCCATATGTGTTGGTCACGCTATGTAGTCAATGAGGGGTTACTTGGTCAGGGTTAACCGTGTTTTTTTTTTTTTTTTTTTTTTTTTTTTTTTTTTTTTTTTTTATGTATGTCTGGCTATATGGAAAAAGCGCTGTATTTTTTCCTAAAAAAAAAAAAGAAAAAAAAGCCCTGTACAAGTATTAGCATTTCTCTAAAAAAAAAAAAAGTATTAGCATTAAACCTTTTACCCATTGACCCATTCCAGTTTTCCTCATCTCCCGCTAAAGAATGGAGAGAGAAAGAGACATAAACTGATGGGGAGCAGCCCATCAGCAAACAAATTTGGTTTAAAAAATTCCAAATTTCTCCAATTATTATTTAATAATTCAGAGTATAGTTTTAGTAATCTTATGTCGTCACGAAATTCCATAATCATCAATTCATACATTTGATAACTCCCACCTAAAGCCTTCTTCTCCATCTCGAGGTTCCATTAATAATTTCTCTTTCTACTCAACCATCAAATAAAGATTAGAGTAGAAATATTGCTAAATTTAGGATAGAGAAAAAAAAATTACCAAAAAAAAGATGGCAAATTGGGAGTTGAAGAAATGTTGCAATCATGAACAAGTTGTTTTCTTGACTACCACAGCTGTCTGTACTGTTGTCATTCTTGCTGTAAGTTAAGCTTACCCATATTTGATCTTTCATTTTTTTTTTCATCAATAAAACTTCAATTTTAATCTAATGAATACACTATTTATTTTATTAATGACTCTTTATAGTACATCCGTAACAGGTTATGTGCACGATTTGACATAAAGTAGAGAGGAAAAATGTCTAATCGTTGCATATAACCTGTAACGGAGGTAGTATGTTTGATTGATCGATGGGTATGAATAAATTAGCTTTGAAATACTACTTGTATGTGTTTTTTTTTTTTATATTTAGTTGAGTTTGATTGATAATAAAATTGTGAATATAGTCAAACAAAATTTAGTATGTACCAGTGTTCAGCACGCTATATCACTGTCATCAATTTTATTATAATAGAGTATTTTTTACAATGGTGGTTGAATCTTGACGTATAAATTTGAATTTCAAGTGTCAAAACTCAAAAGATAGCATTTTTCTTTTCATTTGTTATTTGAAGGTGGTGGGTGTCGGTTGGTTAAATTAATGAATATATAGTCGTGTCTCGTGTGGTGTTGGTTATGGTCCTTAGGGGAATAGGGAGTACTCTCCAATTATGTTTGTTCATCTTATTTGAAATTGACGACAGGTTAATTAATAAAAATGAATTTTTAATGAGTGAGAAACAATTAAAATAATAAAGATTATAATTTTATATCATTGTTAAATAGTCCCACATTCATATAAAAGAATAAAAACATGAAAAAAAGGACTAGTTAAATAAGAGTGCATAAAAAAAACAACATACCATAAAAAAAAAAACCTTGTAATTCTCACCGAGTAACCCTTATAATACTGACAAAATATCTCTGTAATACTGATCGAATAATCCTTATAAAACTAACATGTAACTCCCATGATAATTGGTCATACCACATACTTCACAGTCCCATAATATAGTTCTTGTTTGTGTTTTTTCCACACTCTCTCTAACTTTTGTCTACACTTGTACTTTTTACTTTTATTAATAATGTACTTCATTCACTTTTCCTCCAAAATAAGAATATAGGAATATATTATGGGACGGAGGGAGTATAAGAATTTATGGTTAACTAATGAGGTGTTTAAGGTAACAAAAATAACAAAAGGATCAGAGAAGTTCTTTAGGGTTAAATCACTGAAAATATTATACAAAATTGAAATCAAATCTTATTTATATCATTGTCTTTTGCAACTTTCAAAAGTTCTAGTACACCCATTATAGTTGCACCCGTAACTTATTCAAATGGTTACAGGATAAAAATAAGGCCCTTATTTTAGAGTAATGCAGAATCTAAGATCATTGCAGAATTAGAAATTAAAGATAGAGAGAAGAGAGAGAAAGATAGAATAGAATAGAATGAGAGAATAAGAGATTTTATTGATTTCTTGAATGAATAAAAATGAGTAGCCAATATTACTGCAAATTAATTCTAACAGAATTCAGTTATAGCTAACTAAGTTCTTACAAACTTGACAAGCTAAGCAGTTATAACAGAAATAACAAAATTGGTGCCAATAGTGCCAAAAGTAGTTATAACCAATGAGTCCATATCATAGATTGGGGCTTTGTGGTGCCACAAAATCACTTCTTTTTTGTAACTTTTTTGTTATTGAACTGATTTGGCCTACTTTAAAGCTTTAGGTAAATTTCTCATTTATTGTTTTGGTGAATGAAATCAAGGAATGACTAATTAAAATACCTTTCATTTGACTGGTTTGATTAATTCTTCGACTTTTATACTTCTTCACTATTTTCTTTCATAAATCTCCACTTTCTTTAGTAGCCTCATGATGGCAACTTATAAGTGTGGCTGTATAAGGTGGAAAAATTCACGGACATTGTCATAGAATGACATTCTTTGACTAAAGGTGTGATTAGCAGGAGTTTCTTTATAAAACAATTCAGATCAAAACTGTAATAGCCTTGAGAATTAAGACGTAACCTGGAGCAAGGGAGCGTTTTAAGGTACTAGTTAGAGGAAATATTACTTTGTTTCAATGATAAATGGGGATATAGGGAAGTTGATTGTTACGAGTTATATGAACAAAATGCATGGCAGTTTGTGGTTACTGTCATAACATCACACATTTATGTTTATAGCTCTGTTGAGTGTAGGTAATTTTAGCCTCAAGGCTAAAAGCTCATCCATAACGAATTCAGCTTTCAGTTTTTGAATGCACTTATTCGTCAAGGGTTATAGTTGGTGATAGTGAGTGCTTCTTGTTTTGTTACTATTGCAGCTATGGAGAACGGTGCTACTGATGCCATTTAAGCTCGTGACTGTATTTCTTCATGAAGCAAGCCATGCTATTGCTTGTAAACTCACTTGTGGCCATGTAAGTGCATCACTCGTAGTTGGTCACATTCTTATTATTCTTTAGTCACTGTAGAATATCATAAATCAGCTCAAGTATAAGCTTATTTGTTAATGACTAACATTTGAATGAGAGGTAATCAAGCATTCAGACGGATATCATTAGTTAAGTATTCTGCAGCTACTAAGTATTTGGTAAATTCTATCATTGGTTCCCTGCTAGGTGGAAGAGATGCAAATACATGCAAATGAAGGTGGTTCGACGACAACACGTGGTGGTGTTTATTGGTTTATCTTGCCTGCTGGATGTATTGACTACTAAGACCTGAAAACTTTTACATTATAACTATTCAAAATCACGATCTTCCTTTACAATTGAATTGATATGGGACTCTTGAATGGAATTAGGGTAGTTTTACTATTATCATATGATGCTCTGCTAGTGAGTTGAACAACACCCCTGTTGTTTTCAGACCTTGGCTCATCATTCTGGGGAATGGCTTTAATACTTGCATCGACAAATCTTTTGACTGCCAGAATCGCTGCAGGATGTTTAGCCCTTGCTCTATTTATTGTTCTTTTTGTTGCCAAAAATGTAAGCATCATTCAGCTAGATTAGTATTGAGTATCTAGATATATATGGTAGATTCTTGTTTCAAATGCTGCCTCTAAAAGTTATTGTGCTGCAGTGTCTGATGCAACCATGAAAGTGAACGAAATGTGAGTGATTTCATTATTAATTTGTAATGGATGGTTCTGCATGTTATTTTCCAGATTTCCTACACAAGCTTATTGCTTTCTTTTGAGAAGCTCACTTTCATATGCTAGGAAGAGGCAAATCCTGACTTGAAAGACTTGATAAATACTAAACAATGACATGACCTTATTTTGTCAACCTTTTTACAGTGTTAAGCTATTATTTGTATGGATACTAATTATTTCTTCTTCTACAGTGGACACTACGAGGACTATGTGTTGGTATGCTCAACATTTAAGTAATCTTCATTTATGACAGTAAACTCATCGAAAGAAGTAGGTACAGAGTTACAAATAGAAATGCCTAATAACAGTGTTCTTGATCTTGCAGGGTTTATTATTGTTCTTGCTGTTATCTGGGTCCTGCAAGAAACAACAAAAATACACATCCTCCGTTATATGATTATGTTCATTGGTATCGTTTTCATTCTAAGCTGAATATTTTTCCAGGTTTTTCATCCATTACTGGATGAAATAGTCCTATTAACCTTAGTTTCTCATTTAAGTGTCCTTCAATTTTGCAGGTATAATGAACAGCCTGTTCTCAGTTTACGGTAGGTCCAAGCATCAAATTCTTACTATACTCGTAATGCTAGTGCATAACAATTGGTTTGATCCACTCCAATCTATGTAGAGCTGATGTGCAGCGTCTGATGGATCTATAAACTACAGATATATACGGTGATTTAATCTCCCGAAGGGAACACACTAGTGATGCAGAGAAGTTTGCTGAAGAATGTCCTTGCTTCTGCAATGGGGTGGGATGGGGTATTATTTGGTAAAGTTCTCCGTTTCTTGATTAGTAATCTACTAATCTTTACAAAGTTAGTCTGCAGTGCAAATTGATTCATTAACTGTGTCTATCTGCAATTGCAGGGGAATAATATCGTTTATGTTTCTATGTATATCCATGTACTTAGGCCTCGTAATCCTCTCTTCAGGTATTCACTTATACCATCCATTTAAGCTCAGTTTTCCAATTTCAATAAGTTCTGTAACCTTGATCTTTTCCTGACTTCTGGCAGCTTAAGAAGAATCAGATTGCTGCAATGCCACAGGCCACAGCTCACATACCGAATCAACAGATTTGTTTAATGGCTTATTAAAGCTACAATTCAATACATCATTCTCGCTGCACACCTTGAATGTCTCATTTTTTTTCAACCCTTCTGTTTTGATCGGGTTGAAGCCTATAATACCAGTATAATACTATAATACCAGTATAATATTGGTATACAGTGCTTCCTAGAGAAGATCAGAATTGTATTTCGAATACTACGTCATAATGTTTTGAACTCAAATTGAATACGATGTATATGCTCTGTTTCAGAGTCATAGCAGATTGAATATATGGTGCTTCCTAGAGCAGATTCCTTTGTATGATAATTTTTGTTTCTAAAATTACTGCCCATCATTTACAGTTTTACACTAGAGGTGATAATAAAACCAAATATTTATATTTTATACATTGTAATGAATGAATTTTGTTCAGACATGAATAATTACAACCTCTACATTGAAAAATGAAGAAACAGTACTTCCAGATCCAGTTTCATGAGTACAAGAGCTAGCATAAAATAATCAAGAGGAAAATTTTCAAAAGTGAATAACAATATGGACCACATTATCCACCTTTTGCGAGTTTCGACACTTACGGAGTATAATATAAAGGGACTTCTGGCTCTCCTCCCATAAAGATCAACATGTAGCAAAGCAAAACATTTGTACATTCAATGCTTCTTTTTAACAGGATTAGCTGCTGTGAATTGAGTAGTTGAATTTGTTTGGATGGATTTCCTATTACTAGATCTAGTTGCTACAGTAAAGATACATGTAAACAAAAATACAGCAAAACACGAAAATGATATTGGAGGATTCAGTTTGCCACGGTTGCATAATGTGGACGTCATTCCCAAAGTTGCAGATGAAAAACCAGTTCGTGACTGCCGTTCTCTTCTGTACCATCAAGAGAAAGAAAACAATCAACCAGCCATTTATTTTAGCTGTTAGCCATAGCAAGTTAATTAACACACGTAGACACACAGCTGAACAAGTTAAGCTACCAATCAGAAAATAGAGGCAGCAAAAGTTTAGCCTTACCCAATTATGAATGGAGTATTCCACAGTTAGGAAAATAAACGAAGAATACAACAGAATAGAGGACAATAAAAGAAGACAGTTGAAATTAAGAGAACAGTATAATCACCTTTTTAGTAAACAACAGAATAAGTGAAGAAGGCAACAATATGGAGGACAAAACATATAATCACCTTTATAGTAAACAACAGAGTAAGTGAATAAGAAGAAGACAACAGAATGAAGTACAAAAAGAAAGGAGAAAGTTGAAATTAAGAAACTATATCTTCCCTCTTCAGGACAAGTAACACAATCAATTGCAGTAAATATCTCATTAGTATACCCTCTTTCTTTCATAGATTGATAGCAACACTTTCCATTTCCATTTGTACCAAAAAAATTAATACAATTTTTTTAAATGGACTCACTAATTTATGAATAAAAAAGACCTAATTTATTGTAGTTATTGCTATTATACTACTCTCTCTGTCCCACATTAGTTTAAACACTTCTCATTGAAAAAAACTTAAGATGTGGTAGGGTTATCAATTGTAATTTTAACGAAATGGTAATGTGATAAGAGTTAAGTGGATATTTGTATTGTTATTTTAATAAAAGGTAGGAGTAAAAAGGACATAGTGGGCCAAAGGAAAGGTAAGATAATAAAAAGGACATCTGGTAGAACCTTACAACCAAAAAAAGTGTTCAAACTATACACGGGTGAGAATAGAAAGAGTTCAAACTATGTCAGGATGGGTGAGAATGGAAAGTGTTCAAGTATTCGGGAAAGAAGGGAGTATTTCTTACCTCTCCATTTTTAAACCAGTATATCCTTTCATTTCATATTTGTTTTCCCATTAAAATAGCAAAATACTCAACCACTTCCATTTCCTTTTGTTTTGCCCCCCTTTTTTTGTGGACGTCCCCAAAAAATTTGTTCACACTAAAGTGACCACAAGGGATCAGCACTGTACTCAAACATTCAGCACATCTGCCCCAGCAATTTCTCCGCATTGATTCCAGCCAACAAACCCCCTTTTTTTTTACGAGTAAACAAAAACTAATGGCCCACAAGCCAGATCTCTTAAACACTTCCTCTGTTTTCCTTTATTTGCAACACGCCTTTATGGCACGCACTTTAAGAAAGAGATTAAGTAATGTAAACGAATAAATTAATCTAAATCATTTCTACACGTAGTACCTCTAATCAACTTCTTAAAAAGTGGGCCCAAAGGCTGTGTTGCAAATAAAAAAAAAAGAGGAAGTACTTGTTAAGATTATTCTAGAACTAATGGAGTATGTCAACAAATTTAAATTGTTGTAAAATAATCTCTCATTTACAGATACACATTAATACTAAGTTTAATGTTTAACAGAACACCGGTATCCAGATTATTACATATTTTCTACGTTTTTTGTTGCAGGTTCTTGCAGCATGTGTTTCCCTACCCTTGTTTCTATACAACTACAAAGACAATTTGAAGCCATACAATTTCTAATAATAACAATAAGATATAAATAAATTCGACAAGCTAATGTTATTACTACTTCCATTAAGTAATATGTGCAACTTTTGCCAAAAAAAGGATACTTCACATTTGCAACTCTAACAAAAGCTCAGTTTAGGTAACCAAAATAGAAAAAGAATAAAATAAAAATAAAAAATAAAATAAAAAATAAAATAAAAAATAAAAAATAAAAAAAATAACCAATATTGCAGCTATCATAAAAAGAAATATAGGTTTTTTTTTTTTTTTTTTTTTTGATAACCTGAAACTGATGCTAAAAATCCTTTTTTTTCATAAAAGAAAAAAAAAAAAAATAGAGATCCAGATGTCGGTATTAATCCTAGAAAAATAGACTATATAACATTAAGCATCTGCAATAACCAACAACCTACAGGTCTGTCACTGCACATCATGTGAAATGAATTAATTTGAAAAAAAAAATGGGCACTGAAGCAAACTTACAGCGATAAAGGAATTTTAATGTGATATAAAATAATAACATACACAAAGCAACAAAGCAAATGTGTCACTAGCAAAATAAATAAAACTAAGCAATTACATCGAAAGGGAAAAAATCACAGAACTACAGCCAACAAACTTACCGAAACAATTGTCCTACTGACTTCCATAATGATCTCCCAGGAATTCCTCTCTGGTTTAATTTGTGTACAGTCTGTCTGCTATTATCTGTAACACGTGGAATAATTTAAGCATACAATCATTTAAGACAGAAAGAAACAATAATCAACACGTAGTGCAGCATTCACATTACTGAGCTTTTACCATCAATAGAAGTTGAGAATTCTTCAGAAGATGCCTGGAGAGAAGCCAACTCTTCAACCAATTCCCTTTCTCTGTCACTGCCATCAATAATTACTTGGTTAAGATACACTTTTAATCCTACGGTTTTACCAGTATAGCACTGAAGACTTCGACATTCATAACAACTGAAATATAGAGAAGGGAGCATCTAGGGCTACAGTATAGATCAAAGGGTTAGATTGTCTCGGTATATACTTTCAAAAGATTTTTTTGTATATATATATATATAATTTAAGATGTTCACAGTCAAAGTTATGCACTGATAAACATAAAACTCCAAATAGTGAAAAAATCCCCCATTCTCCTGTACATTACATACTTACAATTTAGGGAAAGGAAAAAAGGGAAGAAAAAAAGGCCCACAACGGTTGGTAAAACCTTATGAAGAGTAATAAGACCCTACATAAATCTCATAGCTGGAAAACTACACAAATAAAAATGGAAAGAAAACTTATAAGTGTTATAGTAAAGCAACTAACATATGTTCCCTAAGAAAATTCTCATTATATTTTAATTTAATTATGAAGACATTATGATAATGCTACATATATCAACTAACAACTAAAAAACATACAAAAATAAAATAATTAAAAATTTAATTGTTCCCCTGTACTGCTGAGCAATTAAAAAAAAATCAAGGGTTGGGGGAAGAAAGGGTGGATTACGACGACACCAAACCTGATTCTTTTGGGGATTTGAATGTCCACAATAAACACATGATCACCCCTTCCAGAGCGCTCATTAGGTTTTGGAACTCCCAAAGATTGTAATTTTACAACATCTCCAGGCTGAATTCCAGAGGGAATATAAAGTTCCTTCAAACCCTCAACAGTTTCCACCTGATGTTGGTCAACATATTAGCATTGTAGTGAAAAATTAACATAGCTACATGCCTACTGAAAATATTTACATCCTTCTAATTATATAAGTTTAAACATGATTCTATAATAAGAAGCAGAGAAAATCTGGAAATGATCAATACAGTAAATTTTATACTTCCTCTGTTTTTATTTAATTGCAACATAGCCTTGTGGCACCCATTTTGAAGTCGAGATTATACAACGTAAACAGACAAAATAAATCAAAATAATTTTAACCCATGGTACCTAATCCTTCACTAATCCCGGTGTTAAAATTACTTTGATAAAATCATTCGTTTACCTATCACCTCCTAAAAATGCATGTCTAAAGGCTGCGTTGCAAGTAAAAGAATATGGAGGAAGTAAGACATTGCTTTGATGGTGGGAGATAAGGATGATACAAAAAGTTGTATACTGTAAGATGGAAGATTCACTAGTAGAGCAAGTAGAAAGTTGAAAAATGGGGATGTTTAAAAAAAGCTGAGGGAGGCCAAAGATCACTTAGGGGCAGGGAGGTAAGACCTGATACAAAGAAAAAGGTTTACATGAGCATATAGCATTCAAGACAAGGGAATAGAAGGAGAAGAAATGCGTCGAACGTTGGAGATAAACTCCTGGTTCATGTAGCCAGTCCCATCACATTGGGATTAAGGCTCTAGTAGTTTCTTTCAGTTTCTATGCCACTTAGTTTGCTTCCAAACCAAACAACTCAATCAGAAAGCTTGAATCAGATAGGCACTCACAGATTTAAGCAGATTACCTAGCAGTGAACAAAAGAGAGCGCCTTAGGCATTGAGGCGCTAGGAGATTAGGGCAGAGCATCTTTTTTTCTCTAGACGAGGCACATTCAAAGAGGCACACCCGAGGCGTAATTCTCTTTTGGTCCCCACCCTATAATTTTTCTTACTTTTTCTCTCTCTTACTAACTATACTTGTATTATAAAAAATTCTCTTTTGGTCCCCACCCTATAATTTTTCTAAGACTCCGTACATACCCTAGTGTTGCAATTATTATGAAACGAAGGGAGTATATCAATTTGGATTGCGAAGTGATGATTATCGCTTTTATCATGTTATTCCTCTTAAAAATTCACTAAGTAAAACTTGTTCACTGAGCCATGGAGGTTGGTAAAATTAGTGCACATCTGTTTTATAGAACAGGGGATTATATGAGTAAATTAGCATAGTAATGGGGCTAATACTACCCAAAGACAAAGTTTAATTGCTATGAACCAAGCCCAACAGCCAGCCCATAAGCCACAGCAGCCACTCAAGGAGTATATGCGAAGGCACAATCAGCAGCACAGAGGACAAGCAAAGCAGCAGCGTGACAGCAACAACAAGACAAAACTGACTCACTAGGGATTGTGGAGTCTGAATTTCTGTGAAGGCCACATAGGCAGTACATGCCAAAATCAATGATTATATTAGGGTAATTTGTAAAAAAGGGATTGCTTGGTATATATAGGAGAGGGTAGGGTAATAGAATGGCATGTGGATTTTGATGTTAATCTTAGAGTAGTAGGTAGCCGTAGCAAGTTCCAAGATTCAATCTTTAAATTAGCCTTCCTTCCTTAGCTTTACCTTGTAGCTACTATTACAATTTTAATCAAAAAAAATTACAAGCTTTTCTCTCATTTTATTAACTTACTGTTACATTGAGCAACTTGAGATCCTAGCCTAAAGCATTAATCTCTTCCTAGTCTTGTTGGTTTTTCCTTGCAATCTGTTTGTAATTCATTTCAGCACTTTTTTTTTTTGAAGTATTGTAATTTCTAACAAAATTTGTTGACTACTTCATTAACATTTCCAGACAATTATTTTTAATAGAGGAAATTCATCAAACAGAAATGAAATCATTATCCTACATACATAGAAAGATTGAAAAATCAATTACATATAAATTTCCCCTAATCAGATAACTTAGCATATATACACAGCCAACACAGGTAGGAAAATAATGTACGTACCTTGACCACAGTCCCCAATATCGCCTCAGTATAACTTATCTTGACTCTAGAGAATAGATTGAGACCTTCTCTCCAAATTCCATGTTTTTTTTTAATATGGAGTACCAAGTACAGATCTCCACGAATACCCCTGCATTAAAAGAACACCAAAACCTTTATGTCAACCCAGCACTCTCTTTAATTTTTCAGCATTGGCATCAATATGCCAATCCACTCCAATCCTAAACTTCCCAGTCCCCTGAACATCAAGAATGCAAGACCACATTAGCAAAACTGTTAAGTACAGCAGAGCACATGAACAAGAAACCACCAAGCCATATGTCTTCTTTCACCAAATATGCCAACTACCTGTTTTTCAGTTAAACTCAAGAGTTTTGAATCAAAAGAGATGATACCTAAAGATTTCATCACAGACTGGTAATACTTGTACCTAAATTATTTTTTCCACATATTAATCGGTGACAGTATATGGTTCCCTTTCTATATTATCTTATAGGCAAGTAACATGATTTCCTAGGTTCACCACTCAGGGCACTCACCCGTAATTATATCAAAACTAGACGGAGAAAATAAAATAAATATGATTTAATACAGAAAAGGTAAAGCTGGACCTGTTTCTATCTATGTTACCCTCTCCTCGTAGTTGCATTGTAGCCCCATCATCAACACCTGGTGGGATATCTACATCAAAGGTCCGCTTGGATCTTATGCTCCCTCGACCACCACACATTGTGCAATTATCTGTCACAACCTTGCCATCTCCTGCACAACTTAGACATGTAGACACCTACAAAATGAACATAACACGCCAGCTTCTAGGGGACAAGAACATAATCTCAAATTTGGATGAGCTACTGCTTACCAAAAACATATCAAATGCTTGTAATACACACTCACATTAAAAAACTAACCAACATGATGATGCGAGAACTGACAATACAGCATAAGCTTTTTGTGCAGTTAAGTCTACAAAGTAAATATCAAACAATCAAATTTAGATGCAAACAATATAGATGGATAAGCCCTTTAAACCCCCGGCTACAGGACTCAGTGAAGCCCAGAGCTGCAGAGGCATCAAAGGTACTCAAATCAAGATTATTAGATCAGGTCATTACACTAACATAGCCTATGCCATCTGGATAGTAATTTCAAACTATTTACCGCATGTAAGCTTGCATTAATAATAAGGTATTCATAGACACAAAAATATGATTTTATACTAGCCATTCAGCTGCCAGCAAGTACGATAAATATTCCTAATCAAGAAAAAGGTTCATTTATTTTGGTCATCTCGTTCTGAATTCAATGAAATACATTTACGTCTTAATTTCAAGAAGTTACTTTGAAGTCATTTTTCAATATGACCAAGCTTTACAGCAAAAAAAAAAAAAAAAAAAAAAAAAAAAAAAAAAAAAAAAAAAAAAATCAGAGTTACAAGACAGTTTGTTAGAAACTATTATTAAATTCAAGGTTATTCTAGGGAATGTTGTGAGGGTTATTTTGAAGGATGGCCTATAGCTAACATGGATAATTTTCCAATAATAAAATGATTCGAGGGAAATTTCTACATTTGAGACCCTACTTCAACTATATTATTTGGACATTTGTAGCAGTCATTACCAGCCATTAAAGCATGGTTCTAAATTTAGCATCATCACATAGACAAATATATTATTATATTATATTCTAGATAAATAAATCTAGTGCACATGGCGGCTGCTTCAAGTGAATTCTAGGGATGCACATAATATAGCCTTAACTCCAGAGAGGCTGGTTTTAACAGTCCCTTGTTTAAAAAATTGCATAACATGAACTGCCTGTAGTAGTCCACAGACCAGAACAAATAATAAATAAAAGACAAATCAGATTTTTTGTCATCCATTAATGCAGAAAGTCACCTACCAGTCACCTACCAATGAAATTCAAAATATCCAGTCATAATAATAACAATAACAATAACAATAACAATAACAATAACAATAATTTATAAAAAATCAATAAATAAATAAACCCTAAATATGTGTCCTTTCTTATAAACTTTTGACCCAGATCTCAGCAGCTCAACCCCTCTACTATCTCAAAGAAACAATCAACAGACAAAAGAGAGCATGATGTCTAATGAACTATCTCATAATGGATATAACTGTTACCTGTAGGTGCAAAATAATTTACCATTAAGTAACAAAAAATATACTGGGTAGCTGTGAAGTTGTATATATTTACAAAACACAAATCTGAACCAGCTAATTAGTTACCACAAAGTTGCAGTGATACCTGAGAAACTACACCAAATGGTGTTCTCTGACTTTTCATAACCCTTCCTCTGCCTCCACATTTGGTACATGATTTGATGCAATGGGTCGATTTAGCTCCTGTACCACCACATACATCACATGTCTCCAAATAGGGAACTTCAATTTCTTGCTTTCCCCCAAACACTGCTTCTTCGAAGGTCAAATTAAGATCAGACCTATAGAAGAAAAATAAAATCGTAGGGTAGTAAACAGCAGACACTCTGATAGAAGGAAAAAGACAACCCAAAAAAGAGGTGGACGTTATACTTTGCAGATAGTCTTTTAAATGCACCAATATCTGAATCAATCAATTGTCAAATGTGAAGGTCATACTCAAAAGTCAAAATTGATAACAGACCCTGATATCAGTGGCCAATTATGCAAGCCAACAAACCATCACTGCAATCAAAGACAATGTCATGCATGTCAGAGGCATCTTTTTCTCCTCCATTCTGCCACGATCCAAAAACTGGGCTCACATTTACAATATACTGCATTGACTTAATAGATCATGACTAAACCCGACAAAAAGTGAATACTTTCCTAAATCTTAACTTACTACATATTTTGGTTTTCTCAGTTTCCCCATAAAAATCTGTATACCTAGGTCTTCCAGGGTTCCAATCTAATTAGCTTCCCAAACCCTATTTTCTGACTCACTAATCCAACTGTCTAGTCACTATCTGCTAGAACCTGGAACAGACAGAGCACACACAATGCACAACACAGAATAATAGAGGCAGTAATGGGGGTATGTTGTATTGATAAACCAGGGAAGTTAACCAATACAGCTCTCCTTCTTTTGAGAGGAAGGAATCTCTCCAGACTACTCACTTCATTCAATAATTTTCAGCATAACTTCTCTATTACAAAACTCCTATATATAATCAGTTACTCAGTATCTAGCCTCTTCCACAGCTAAGAATAACAAACTTATTCTCACAATTACTAAAATACCCTGAAACCCATAACAAACTTCCTAACAGAATTTCCCACCCATCATCAAGTTGCTAGAATCTTCTTCTTGGGCTTCCTTCGAGCATATGTGATTAAAGGCCTAGGCTGACCCCTTGCACTATCCTATAGATGGTAAGCTCAACAATCAGCAGGAAATGTTAGAAAGGGATGACAAGACTCCCAGGTGCACATTCTTATCATATTTGTGTCATATAATGTCAGCATCTCACATCAAGGTGGTTGCTTTATAGCAGATTTCCTTTCATGAAATAATTTAAGTATTTCCCAAATGGCAAAATTTCTTACAAGAATGATGGTTCACTCTAGCAACTAAGTGCATCATGTTGTTAGAAACAGACTGCAGACAATGTGCTGCTAGATTAATCACAGCGTTCTGGAAAATTGGAAAAATGAAGGGTCCCCATTGTTCTACTCTATGATGTTCAAAGACTTCATAGAGGATATTCTAATTAAGAAATGATATACAATTATCTACAGACACTAACTTAATATAAAGATCAATTTATTGAAATTACAAACATAAAACTTTACAAAGGTTACCCTTAAGATTGATTTGAACAATAAGATAGGAGGAGATAAATTAGTCTACAACATAAACCAAATTGCAGTTAGTCCTTCTAATTTGAACAATATGATAGGAGAAAATAAAGGAAACAAGATTGAACAAAGATAACCATGAAAAGTTGTTCCTTCTAACTAAGCAAAACCTCAGCGTAGTTTTCATTTCAAATATAAAGTATGTTTTATCAAAATTTCAAAAGACCTGACATCAAGACTTATATAGCAAAAAATAAATACGAAGTATATAAATAAGTAAATTGCAGTAGTAGTTGAGGAGACAAACTGCAGATAACTTTGACGTTAAAAAATTATGTTTTCAGCCATAGGGAATCAATTAAAGCAAGTGCAAGCAATAATCCTAACTGGTCCTACCATGACATTTATAGAGCTAATTCGCTAAAGGCTGAATACAACATTATTCCCAAATTCGAAAGCATCTCTTAATTAATGCTTAAAAGGAAATACCCATGTAGTAATTTGCAACAATTACCAGATATCAAGATTAAGCTTGCTTTTGCTTCTACCCATGCCTCGACCTCCAAAAAATCCATCTGCTTCACCAAATATTGAATCAAAGACTTGAAAAGGGTCCACCTAATTAAGGAACAAGTAAAGGTACAAGAAACAAGTAACACGTATTGATTAGGAAAATTATAAAAAATAAAATTAAAAAATAAATAAAATAAAATAAAAAGAGAGATAATTTACATTAAGAGTTTACTCTAATGTTAGATCACTAGTAATCCCACTCATGGGGGACCCAAGTAGAAAAACTTAAGACAAACAACCCATGATGTTTGTTCTAGGAAACTCTAAGGAAGGTTATGGGGATTCTGATGAAGAGCTTAGAAGTAAAAACCAAAGATGATAAAATCAAAGATACTTTTCCGGACACTTTTTCAGGTAGCTGTGCTTTAGTATCTTGGCTTAATCATCTATGGTTTTAAGCTGACAATGAGTTCAGAATACTAGCTGAAAGAAGGGGGGGGGGGGAGGGCAACAAATTCCAAATAACAATTATAGGATAACTTTCAATGACAATAATTATAGTAATTATGCTACTTCTAAATTTGGGCCTGTAAGTTTTATTGTATTGGTTATGGAACAACTTTATTATTGGTAACTGAACTTTTTATATGAATGTGTTTTTATTGTGAATTTCAAAGGCAGGTATGAAGAGCCACATATTTTTTGCTCAGACATTCTTTTTCTTTTTAAAATTTTATGATGCATATTGACTTGCATAAGTTAAAGAGATTGCTTATCCATACAAAATGAAAGCCCCTACATGTAGAGGGTGAACCTAGAAGTGAGTGGATACATAGGTAACTGACTATGCATCCTAATTTGTGCAAAGAACTAAGTATTAATGAGTATATCATCATAACCTTGTTCACTTGAAGGGAAAATTTACTATTATCAAATGGTTGATTTACACACTTTAAGAAATGACCGCCAACTATAACTTGAAAGAAAATGTACATGTCTACAATATCAAAAATAAATAAATAAAATCAAACCACAGTATGTGTAGATATTGTATCACACTCACACATCCAATATCCCCTTAACATAAAGTGACCATATCAAGAAAGTGTAGCAAACTAGCTAACATAAGCAAAATTATATTACAACTAAATCTTACTTCTTGGGCATCAAAGCTTGGACCCATCGACTCTCCTTGCAAACCTGCTTCACCAAAACGGTCGTACAATTCTCTCTTCTCTTTATTTGAGAGTATCTACAAAAAATAATTTCTTAAGTATTTGTAAGTGTTTATTCCAAACTCTACATTTTTTTCCATGAAACACATACATAAAATCAGATAAATGGATATAAAGAGCTACTTCCTCTGTTTTTAATTACTTGCATCCATGTGGCATGCATTTTGATTTTTAGGTTGAGATTATACAATGTAAACAACAAGTTTAATCAAAATAATTTTAACACATGGTACCTAATCCTTCTCTATTCCTGGTGTTAAAATTATTTTGATAAAATCATTCGTTTACCTTTACTAACCACCTCCTAAAAGTGCGTCCCTAAAGGTTGTGTTGCAAATTGATATTATGATATAGAAATCATGTTAGGATGTTTTTCCTAGCATCATATTAGGATGCTTTTCTTAGTATCATGTTTAGGGTAAAGAATAAGTTCCTTAAATCAATTATGATTTCTATGATACTTCCTATTTTCTTTCCTAATATCATGTTAATATCATGTTAGGGCTAAAGATTTTATTTTTATGTTGCTTAGTGACATGCTAGAGTTTGTTATTAATCTTGTTAGTATCATGCATAGGATCTTGCTATTATTATTATGCTTTATTTTTAACATGAACATGATTATTTTAATTATGATTGTAATTATTGTTATTATTTTGATTATTATTATGTTGATTGATATTATATTATTTATTGTTATTGCTTGATCACGCCTTTTATGCATGTTTAAAGGGAATTGGTACTTGTAATCACGCTTAATAAGATAATTAATAATCTTGTTTAGGGTTAATATGATTATAATTCAAGCGATCGCCAATAATAGATTTATTTGTGCATTAACATTCAACCAACATAGATTAAACAGGTTTAGGGTAAACCAAATGATTGCATGCTAGTCAGAAAGCGCACATGAATACGAGAAGAATAAAGTAGATGTCTATTATTAGGGCAGGTTCAATCTCTTTTAGGTTGGATTTGTACCTTCATCCCCGAACTTTCAGTCTTGGTTCCAGACCTATTGGAGTTAACAATCTCCTGGATCGTTAAGGGGTGTAACCTTCACCCTATGAACAGTTTACAAGTTCCTAAAACTTATTAGCGACTTTTTTGCTCTAGCTTCCTTCCCTTTGGACGCCACCATGCTTAAGTGTATGATCACAGTGGGGTTCAATTTTGGGGTAATGCTTGAAATATTCCCTACACTATCCGAAGCAATATGGCACTTTGTTCACAAATTACGTCCAATATTACTGCCTACTCCAATATCAATGGTGCTAGCCACATCTCTAAGCCTCAATTCAGGATAGAAGGAACATAAAAAGACTTAAAGGGAAAGAAAAAAAAAAAAAAAGTGGGTTCTCTTCTCAAATCAAAGGTAGAAGTCGTAGCACACAAACACTTAATACTAACCTAGTAAATGGAAATGCAAAATAAGAGCATAATGCAAGTAGCTAGAATTACATGGTGCAAGTAATATAGATTTGATTGCATTCTAAAAATCTACTTCGTTCCAAATATTTAATTAATTAACTGCCACATTCAACCACATAATTATTAAATTATACAAGAAGAATGCCATGATATACCCATTAAAATAATATGTCATGTCAATTAGTTCAGCCCTTTGGGCATTTAATTTTAAAACTTAACTGTAAATGCATAAAAACATTTATGGGATAAAGTAACAATGAATACTAAGTTAAATTTTTAAAAAGTATATATACTCCCTCCATATGTTTCTCTTGTGCACGAATAACAATGTAGAACTTTGACTTCAATTAGTATAAATTATAACAACTAATATTACTAAACTATTAATTAAGACAATTCCAACAATTACCCACAAAACTATATTTATTCTTATGTATAAATCACAAAGACAAGTCAAAGTGAATCACAAAAATATATTTATTCTTATGAATTGTGCAAAAATTCAAAACGTTTTACTGATTTAAATGCGAGGGAAGTTTATAATCATGACATGTCATTGAGGTGAATTTTCTCCTGCCACTCCACCCTATCCAACACTATATTTTCCTCGATCCCCACAACACTCATGTCACTCTCAATCACCCTCTTCCAAGTTTTCTTAGGTCTTTCCCTACCTCTCGCGATCCCAACACTTTGCATGTCTTGGTCTCTTTCTACATGGCCTAACCATCTTAAGCCTAATCTTGTAACCAATCGATGTAACCCTACTGTCTTCCTAATTATCTCATTCCACAACTGAGCCTTACTTGTATAGCCACACATCCATCGCAACATACACATCTCCGCCACATTCATCTTATGCACGTGACAATGCTTTACGGCCCAACATTTTGTACCATATAACAAAACAGACCTTATTGTCGTTCGGTAGAATTTCCCCTTTAATCTTCAAGGCACGCAGGATCACATAAAAAACCCATCGCAATCTCTCACTTCAACTAATCTTATGAGTCTCATCTCCATCCAATTCTCCATCCTTTTGAATAGTAGATCCCAATTGAAAAACCTCTAGACAATCTTCCCATCAAAGATGATCACCCCTACCTCACTGTTTCTCACACCGCCAAACTTACATTTCAAATACTCTGTCTAATTTTTGCTCACCTTCAAGCCACGGGACTCCAAAGTTCATCTCCACAATTGCAACTTATTTTCCACACCTTCTTTCGTATCACCCATTAACACAAAATTGTCAGCAAAATAATATCATCCCTAAAAAGTAGGATTTTGCCTTATCACATGGAGTTTAGCATGGTCAAATACTTTGATTCAGTTTCTATATGATCAATTCATACGGGTAATTAAAATAGCAATAAAAATAAAACTATGGTGGGTTTCGCGCTGCCAGTCCCAAACCTGGATAAAGGATAAAGGTTACGATAAGCTAGTGGCAGCAATGTAAAACTTTGACACATCACATGACAATATGACATGAGCCAAAATGATTAAATAATAGTAAATAATAAATAATTACATGTTATATCTTTATTTTTTGTCTCATTTACTTTATGAGTGGTTATTAAATCACATAGAATATTTAGGGAGAAAATACAAGTTTATAACCTAGATAAACATTTAAAGTTTATAAGGAGTAAAATAGTACATTCAAACAGGCATTAAGGGGTAAATAACTTATTTCCTTTTTTATGGCGTTAACCTGCCGTTTCATCAATCAGTAGCTATTTTTCTCTCTTCCTTCATCCATTGATGTTTCACCATTGTTGAAGACTTCAACCCCTACCCCTATAAGGTTAACCATTTCCATAATTTTTATAATTTTTCCTAGGGTTTTTCCTTAAATTCGGCGGCGAAGCTGGATTTTAGCCCGTAAAGGTGAAGATATCGAAGTCGGATTTACAAATAAATGGAGGAACAAAAATGGTAAAGACACCAAAGGTACGAAAAGCTGAGAAGGTGAAAAAGTAGATCACCCAAATCTCGAGCCAAGCAATTTGTTTTAGATATCTGATAGAAAGTTTTAGCTTCATTATTTGTGGCAACGAAGGTGAAGGTGGTAGTACCAACCTTTCATCTTCTCCAACAGGTTCTACGGAGTAGTAGTTAGTCTTCTTTTTTTTGGTTTTTTTTTTTCTGAAATAATGATGCAGTGATGCTAGGTCCGTGAAATCACGCCGTTTATCTCTTTAGTGTCATTCATTTAAGCCAGCTATCTAAAAAGGGGAGAAATTAGTAATTTATTGATGCAGCATGAATATCAAGACAATTTAATTACAAGATTTCCATAAGATAAACATCCAAAGTTTATCAAGGTGATAAACCTTGCTGGCTCATATCTAGGATCACATCTTCTGATTAGAACCCCTCCGCATATAAATTTATGCCTTTTGGAATCTTGAGAGATTCTATGGAAAATAAAATCTAATAATTAACAATTTTTTGTACTTCAAAACATAGTCAGATCTTTTGCTAGATTCATTTCGATTTTTAATTTCCAAATTTGTGTTTTTTTTTTTTTTGGGGTTAACAAATAGCTTGAAATTTTTTACTCTCTCCATGTTTTAATAAGTGTTACACTTTAACCGGCACATAGTTTAAGGCAATTATATTAACTTAAATAAAATAAGAGGTAAATAAGGTAGTTAGAGTATTAAAAAATAATAAAAGAAAGACAGTGGGGTAAATTGATTATTTAAAAGTAATGAATGTGAAAGGTTAAAAAAAATTAAAAAAAAAATAGTAGTGGTTTGTGTGAGGACCATGAAAGTAGAAAGATATTGTAACACTTATTAAAACAAGAAGTAATTACAATATTACAATTAAAACTGTGAACAAGTTTTTGGAAACAGAGGGAGTGACTAATATTTTTGATTTTTAAATATACATTGAAGCTTTTGTAATGGTCCCAAAAAAACTACGTCCATTTCTATTACTACTCACTTTATCTTATTCCATTTTTGCCAAACCTCCTTTATTATTTTACACCACTTACTCAACTATGATAACACCTTTTCACACACTTGCCTTTTTACTTACATCCACTTGCCTTTTTACTTACATCCACTTGCCTTTTTACTTTCTCTTTCTTACTTTATTCACCTTTTTCTTACACCCACTAAACTTTTTCAAAATTCATTATGTATACATGGTAACTAAGTAAATAAACAATTAATAAAAAATTATAAAATAAAGGTATTACGTCATTTTATACTTTATGTTATGGAAACTAAAAGCCATAGTACTTGCCTCTGTCTGATCAAAAAGCTCTCACAAAAAATAATTAAATGAGCCAAGTATATGACAGTGATAAATTTTCTCTTTATTTTTCCCAGCTAGTATATTTACTTGTACTTGCTAAAACTAAAATTAAATCAAATGTGATTTTCTAAGTAGTTACACACAAGACAAACAAGTATTAGACTCTTAAACACCTTCAACTTTCTTCACTAACAAAATTGCTCTGTCAAAATTTTCACTAACCAGCCTATATTTCCCAAAGCAACTATTAACATTTTCATCACAGACAAAGAATCAGGAAAGCAAAGCAACAAAGAGCCCAAGACACAAAATGAATTATATTACCAATATAGGTAAATAAACTGAAGGGAAGTAACATGCAGAAAAGTACCTCATATGCAGCACTTATTTCTTTAAATTTGTCCTCCGAACCTGGAGTTTTGTCTGGATGGTACTGTTTAGATACAGAAAAATCAGTACTCGATTAGAGAAATATGCTGCAGCAACATCTGACATAGCAGAAAATATATTTGAGAAGAGGAGTCTAATATGCTACCATGATGGTACTGATGACACAAAAAGGACTAGATCGAGGTAACTCAGACAGTGATAAATGTTTCAAATCAAGTTAAAAATTTACCTTTTAAAAGTGTCTAGCCACATATAATACAGTCTGATTGCTAAAACAGAGTCTAGCTATCATTTTACATATGGACCGATCTTACTTACACTGTTATATATTTAGGCCACAGTGAACTTTGGTAAAACTAAACACCGTAGTTGTGAAAATATATAGGTTAGTCTGAACAAGCCGTTATATCCTTACCTGTTTACCTTCTTGTTTTGCCTGTGGAAAGACAATAAAACACTTTTTCTTGCAGTAATACAGTGGATTTTCTTTGTTAAAGGCTCTCATAGTTTGTCTGGATTTATCGGATTACTCTTTTAACTGTTTAAATCATCAGCAAGTACAGAAGATGAGGTCTGGGAGACCAGGAATTGGGGCAAATTTTGTGATAAGCTATGCAGTCTGTTGTTAAGATGGCACTTTGATTTGAGGAGCATGATCATATTTATTGTGGCTGGTAGTTTTCCTCAACTTTCTTGCACAAAAAATTGCTATCTTCAGTCACGGGGCTTATCATATCTTTGACAGTCACCGGGCTTTCCCTAGTGTTTCCCTTTCTAAGTTAATGTGTGATTAAAGTGTGAAACTTCTATTTTTGAATCTCGGGTTTGGTAGGATTTTGGTCCCCTCATAACTCTTCTGAATTATATTTTAACTTAAACTTGCCTTTTGGCCTGTTCAATGCACAGGATATTACTTAGGATATTTTTCTTGTAATGTGTTGCTTAGTTGTGTTATGCGTCGATTCTGTTTTGTATTCCATCTGTGTTTTTTTTTTAATGCTACAATGCTAACAAAGGAAGTATACAGTCATACACGCTACACGGCTAAGTGCTAACAAAGGAAATATAAAAAATGAAATATTAAGAGCTAAGTTTGAAAAAAAAAATAATGAGGGTGGAAATGTCAAAGAAGATGAAAGGAATCAAATTATATTTTAAGTAATAATATATAAAATGACATATGATTGAAGTTATATTTTACGTTTAAGATGGAGATGAAAAGAATTATTGCACTTCATATGTTTATGTAACGTGCACTATTGTTTTAGGGTATGTTCACATTTATTGGACTAAACTGAACATTTTATGAGAGAAGGAAATTAGGAACTGAACTGAACTGATTAGAGCTGAAGCGAAGTGAAGTGGCCCTTATTATATTATGGTGGAAATGAAACACTTTATATTCGTACTTAAATTTGTAAGCTATGGAATGCATAAAGACTTGAGCATTATTAAACTTTTTGTTTAAAAAAAATTATTTAAGAGAATATAAAAAGGAAATATTAAGAGAGGTGATATGTGGCATATAAGTAAGTTGTAGTGACATGTGGTATATAAGTGATTTGTGGTGACATGTGGTATAAAAGTGATTTGTGGTGACATGTGGTATAAAAGTGATTTGTGGTGACATGTGGCATATGATTAATTTGTGGTTTGTGATTTTAATTACAAAGTATAGATAAAATATTTTTGCACATCAAAACAAGCCAACTAAGAACGCTAGAACAGTCCCAACCTTTATGTATAATAGTTATCAAACACAACTAAAATTACATAATTCCAAGCTTCATTTCTGTTTAAATGCATATTTAGATCAAAAGGGTTACATTACCAAAGAGAAATAGAGCTTGCAAGTGAACTAGACACGAAAAAATTGGGTTAGTGTCAAGGGGCTACGACACGTTTTATTTAACGGGTCAACACGACACGACATAATTAATTAAATAGGTCAAGTTAGTGTTGAAATTCCCAACACGAAATTAACACGACTCAATCTACTTGAGAAAAGAAAAAACCCCAATATTTTATGGATTAATAACAATTATGTAGAATGGGCCTTACACTTTTCCGTATAGCAAACATAATGACATGACACTTCACTGACACGGAACACGTGTCCGGTCCTTCACTTGGCACTCGGACACTTCCATTAAGAGAGGAGAGGAAAAAAGAGAAGAAACATGAAAGAAAAACATATCTGGTTCGAAAACCACCATTAATATAGATAAGATGAAGAGGAGAAAATTGCCATTTATTAGGAGAATTTACCAAGGAAAGAATTATTTTTAAAAAAAATAGGGGTAGACATGATGAAAAATTTAAAGCTTTTGTAATATATAATTTATTTATATATATTTAACTGTGTATTGACGTGTCCCCGTACCCGTGTCCAAATATCGCACAGAGTCCCCGTGTCCTAAAATTCTAGGACACTTGGACATGGATCCGTGTCCGACACCCATTCCCGAGTCCATGTAACATAGCGAATCGGACATGAAAAAAGTGGGTTATTGTCAAGAGTTTCTTATACATTTAATTAAATGAGTCAACACGACATTATTAAATGGGTTGGGTTAGTGTTAAGGTTTCCCGACCCGTTTAACTTCCAGCACGAACATGACAGATGCAACACGTTTGCCACCTCCAGATAGAACATACTTGCTTTATTCATTTGTTATTTTATCATGAGCTTTGGTAAGTCTTTCACACTGCAAAACCAACAGATTTTTTTTTCTGAAAAAGCAAAAGGGCTATTATTGATGCAGTTTGAGAAACTTTGTTGCATAAAATAAATTTCACTATTCGTATAGGCATTAGTCTTCCAATAAGCAAACCTCCTTCAGCCATCTTCAGAGGACGCACTAATCCCACCCCACCAAATGGTCCTCCTCACATCACTAGACCCAAACCACGATATTCCATCATTAACCTCTCAATCTTACTTGCAAAGTTGCATATGCCATAGAAATTCTGAACAGGCATAGATTAAAACTTATATATATAGCATAAATAGACAAACAAGATTGGATGAACAGCATTCCCCCACCAGCACAAAAGCACTGCTTCTTCCACTCATATAGGCCCTTGATGAACCTCAAAGGTTATTTCTCAACTCCATTACTAAATTGCATCATTTTAGTATTTTTACAAAAAAAATTGAGCAACTCAAAAGCCAATTTGCCCAATATTAGATTTGGGTGAAAATATAAAATGCATTCATTATCATCCCTCTCTATTGCGTCCTACCCCATAGCAACCTTTAGATAAGCAACAAGCGAGTGATGATAATGGCAGTATATAAATCCACTTTAGAAAGGGTACTTTACTAGGTGATGGGCATGATTACAAACATGCTAGGGATCCTAAGTTCTTGTTCCTTAATATTAATCAACTACATTTGGAATTCAAATATCCTAACTTAAGGAATGTATAAACTTTTGGAGCACAAACTCAATAGTCATCAGCACCAACACAAAATAATTTCTAATGATGTGCCCGTTTACGTGTTTTGGGATAGCAAAGTAATTCATTTTAGCATAGCCACTTGACTAGTTTAACAGAGCACAAACATTGTTGAGAGGGAAGACAATAAATCCAATGAAATTAGTACTTGTAAATTAAAAGTGCTTCATACAAGTATATGATTGTGGTTCATCCAATGGACTAAATATCTATAATCCCAAAAAGCTTATCATTTCTTCAGTCTTAATACTCTTAACAACAGTCAACTATTAGTATCATCCAGCAAGACATGTTTCACATTCTAAGTTCGAGTTCTAATTCGAGTTCTGAAATATTTAAAGTATTAGTAATAGTATCAGTATGCTATTTGTTCATATAAGATTAAACCCTTTAAATATGGCATTCAATTCCACAAAATACCAAAAGAACCCACAAAAAAAAAAACTTTTAAAATAAGGTGTCAATAAAATGAGTATTATGAGTACTATTATCATAATCCAAATACAAAATACAGCATTATCAAAGATAATCAAAACCTCAATTGCATGCACCAAAAAAATTAGTTAAAAAATTAATTCGACAAAGAAATTGAAAGCAAAATTAAGAGAAAAAGGAAACCTTGCGAGCAAGCATCCGATAAGAGCTCTTAATTTCATCCAAAGTAGCATTTCTACCAACATTCAAAGTAGTATAATAATCAGCTTTTGAGGCTGCTCTAATTACCCCAAATGCTCGGCGTTTGGGGTGAGAGAAACGATTAATTGGGAGTAGAAATTGCTTGTGTTTGAGGAGAATTTGATGAGAAGAATTTGAATTTGAATTTGAAATTGATGGAAATAGTTGGGGATAGAACGAAGGAATTGGGTGTTGGATTAAGCAGCTGAGGTGAAGTGCCTGCATTGCGTTTTGCCACTTCTAAGAGAAGTGGAATTGATTGTTGTTTGTCTTGTGCGTCTTGAAACCTTTTTTTTTTTTTTTTTTTTTTTTTTTTTTTTTTTGAAGAAAGCTAGGCTAGTATTATTTAAATTAAAGGAAAAATTGATTCTAATAATTCCACTTTTGAGCGGTTCGCCATTAATAATCTTACCTTTTGATTATTATTTAATAATCTCACCTTTGGGGGACATCTTCTTTCAATGGTCCCTAACTTGTTGATAACCGGTGTAATAGGTTAACATGCCACATGTTACTTTGTGATTTGCCGAAATTTTCTTATATATTTTTTTTAAAAAAGTAAATATAATTTTTTATCACCCTTATCCTGCTTCTTTATCCTTTTCCCTTCCTTCCTCCATACTTTTCGGTTAAGCAGCCGCAGCCCAATACTCCCCCTGCAACTAGTCACACCACCCTCGAAACACTAAAATCCAGCCACACCCACCCTATAACAGCCCACCTTAGCCACGTCCACCCCGAAACACCGTACCTCAACCTATTCCCACCCCAAAGCGATTCATTTCAGCCCTCCCACACCCCAAAATGCCCAGCCCCAACCTTCCATAATCCCTGAAAAACTCCAGCCCATCCCTTCCCACCTTGAAACACCCCACCCTAACAACAGCGCGTCTAGGGTCTATAAATTGGAGCATCAATTGAAGTTGTTGGTGTCAAATTTCTAGATTAGAGGCCAAAATTATGCCTTTTGGTGGCCGAATTGTTGATTACGGGTGGTTTGAAGGCCAAATTGTTGTCAATTGGAGGTGGATTAGAGTGCAAGGACTATGAAATGGATGAGTTGCGCAGCTGTTGCGTTGTTGAGTTGGTGGCGTGATTGTAGGTGTGGATGTTGGTGGTGAAAAGGTGGTGTGGATGTTGGTGGTGTGATTGGTGATGAGTGAGTTGGGAATAACGAAGGCAAGGGGATTGCATGGTGTAAGGGGATTAATTGGGACAATTGATGTTGATGGTGCCTGATAGTTGGAAATGAAGGGGGATGGTGGTTGGGGAAAGGAGGGCTGGTGTGTGGCTAAGATAAAAAATAAAAGAAAATAAAAAAATTAAAAAAAAAACTTACCCAAAGAACAAGTTACCGGTCATAAGGGACCATTAGAAGAAGATGTCCCTCAAAGGTGGGATTATTAGATAATAATCAAAAGGTGGGATTATTGATGGCGAACCAGCTAAAGGTGGGATTATTAAAATCAATTTTTCCTAAATTAAATTCGAATCCGTGAGTACATATGAGGAAACCTCACTAGGACAATGATTTTCCCACACCTGTTCACAACCGAAAGGTACTAGCTTAGCGAGATGGTGTGCAACAAAGTTACCATCCCGATATACATGAGACCAACTAATCGACTTGAAAGAAGTACTAGCACATAAAATATCACCTAAGACCGAGTCTAAATCAGTGTAGTGGACAACTCCTTTGGTCAGCCTACGTACAAGCATTTGGCAGTCTAGATACTTAGTTGAAGGCTGGAAGCACTGCTTTTGTGTCATGCACAGTAATTTTACTATATTCAACCAATAAAAATTTAGCAAATTTTGTTAATTACTACTTAAAAATAGAGGCTTTGTAAATTACAATCCCTAAAAAAAAAAGTTTTTAATTACTCTCTCTAAAACTGATTAGTTCAAGTGATTGCTACCTTTTTTCCTAATTAGCCCCTAATTAGACAATTTAAGCTCTTAATGATATCATTAGCCAACTATTTTATAACTAATTACTTTTAAATCTTAATTAACTAATTAAACCCTATAACCACCTCCACACCACCATTTCACCACCACCGGCCACCCTCCACCCACTACCAAACCTCGACCACCGCGCGTCGGCACGTACTATGCCTGAAAACCGTGGACAACGCCAACGACACCATTCCTCGAGCCCGGCGACCCCTTACCTCGACCCTGATACTGTTCGAAAAATCACTCTTCTTTCTCTTGATTCATCCCTAATTTGTAAACCCAAACCCTAACTCTAATCCTAATCTCCTCTCTCTCTCTCTTCCAAATTCATTATAACACATTCAATTTCATAGTAAAAATTCTGCAAACATCTTCATCTATCTTCCAATTCTTCCATGGATTGCTCAATTGCAATTTTCAATCATGTTGTGTGCTCAATCGAAACCCTAAATTTTTAATTTAGGAGTTTAAGGGTTTCGACTGGTGGTTAAGGGGAGGAACGAAGTGGAGACGGCTGGTGGTGGGGCGAATCATGTTCGCCGGCTCCGGAGAGGAGGTTTTGGCGTCGGTTAGTGGGGAGGGAGAGTTATTCGAGAAAAGGGTGTTTTAGGGAGGGGAGCAAAGTGGTGGTTTAGGGGTCGGAGTTGAGCTAGGTGGGAAGCATAATGGTGGTTCAGGGGTCACCGTCGATGCGCGGTTTTAGTGGTAGTATTCGCTGGCGCGCGGTCTTCGAGGTGGGGAGCAAGGTGGTGAAGGTGGTGCAGTGGTGGTATAGAGGTTGTGTTAGGGTTTATTTAACTAATCATGACTTAAAAACAACTAATTACAATTTTTTTGGATAATGATATCATTAAGAGCCTAAATCGCCTAATTAGTGGTTGATTAGGGAAAAGGGTAGCAATCACTTGAATTAATCAGTTTTAGGGATAGTAATTAAAAACATTTTTTTGGGGTAGTAATTTACAAAGCCTCAATTTTTGAGGTAGTTATTAAAAAAATTTCCAAAAATTTATAAAGAAATGTATTAAAAATAACACAGATATAATATACAAAAACAACGTAATTATTACACACTCCGTTTTTAAATACTTGCTTCACTTTTCATTTGCGGCAATTTTTAAATAATTATTCTATTTCCTTATTTGAAAAGACTTTACAATATTTAATTCATTTCTCTCAACTAGCAGACCCATCATAAATTAAATTTTATTAATTTCATATTCACTCTCCACCAATTCTCTCCACTACTTTTTACAATTTTAATTCTTCCACCTACCCCACTACCTCCAAATTTTATTACTTTCTTTAATTTCTTCTAAAACTCCGCGCATAGAGAAATGGAACAAGTATTAAAAAACGGAGGGGTATCTTCTTATTTTGTGTATTCAATGAAATGAAAAATGAAATATACAAAAGAGTTTGCTAGACAAATGAATATATTAAAATTACACGGTGTTTTAAAAATTCAATGATAAATTAGTATCGATTTTCTTTTTGATAGCCAAATAAGTATTTAAAATAATGCATTACACCTAATGGGTAGAAAAAATAACCTCAATTTAATGATATTTGGTCAGTTTTTATGAAAGTATTGGAGATATAAATTAAAAACAAAAGGATGAAATTTTAATTAATCAAATTTTCTTACATGAAATTACATGCAAAGATAAAGTGTTTATAATGTTGCACTATGTTGTTAAACTCCCTTCATTTTCTTATGTTATTAGTATTAGAGTTGTGCGAGAATCCAATTAATATATTAAAAAAATATATATATCAAAATTCCTATTAATAATAACAATAATTTGTGTAGGACGAATATATTTTTTTTATAGATTCATCATTTTAAATCTTTTTACAAAATTAGATTATTTCGAAAATATTATCATTTGAAGGAATAGAATATGATGTATTAAAGATATGTCATACATATTAATATTTATTATGATGTATTGTCCTATTATTAAAAGTTATGGAAAACGGAGTAATAACTATAAAGGAATGGACAAAATTATCAAGACTAATGCGACATTTCACCGATCTTTCAAAATACAACGACCTTTTGATTAATCCGAAATGAAATGGCCTTTTGCATGCATTTGCTAAAAATAAGATAGAAAACTGGAAACTAGTTTCACTCTCTAATTTTATTGTCAAAAATCTGAATGTAACCAATAAAAAGAAATGGAGGGGGTAGCCCACAAAATGAGTTATTCTAAATTAATTGAAAAAATTTGATATACATGTTTGTTGATACATAAATTTATTTTGTTTTTATTTACGTGGAAAAATTCTTAAATCTCATTCGTCACTTCGCTTAGGTGGCGAGTGAATTTTTTTATTTCTAAAATAAAATAGAAATCTAATTTTTAATGGCAAAATTGGCCTTAAAAATCTGAACTATGGCTTGGGTGCACCCAGCACCCTGTACTTTGCTTAGTGGCCAAAACACCACGAACTAATGACTTGGGTGCAAAACACACCTTTAATGAGTATTCCGGCCACCATTCTCACTGGAGCCGGTGAATTTTTTTTATTTACGTGCTGAAAAATGTCCAGTAAAGGTTTCAGGGGTCATTTTGATTCCTAAAGGATCCAAATTGAGCTCAAAACAAGCAAAGATATAGCGTAATGACTCAATTCGGCTTAAAAAACAATGACACGCATATCGAGATATTTTATAACATGCTAAACGAATCATGTACATTATTTTTTTTTTATTGTTTTAAGCTCAATTTGAATCCTTAAGGACTAAAATAACCCCCGAAACCTTTACAGGAGATTTTTTGGCGTGCAAATCGAAAATATTCACCGGCTCCGATCAGAATGGTGGCCGGAAAACTCACTAAAGGTGTGATTTGCACCCAAGTCATTAGTTTTGGTGTTTTGCCCACTAAGTAAAGTACAGGATGTTGGGTGCACCCAAACCATAGTTTAGAGTGTTGTTGC